CATTAGCTCTGCACATTAAAAGATTCCAAGGGCAGGTGAAGGTTTTCATACGAAGAATTGATGGCGAGGCAAAGGTTAAAAATCCAGAAATTTAGAGACCTCCATCTTCCTTTAGGGAGTAAAATAGCTAAAGTAACTACTTTAAACAAACTCCTTTAAATTGAAAAGACAAGTTATTAGAATTAAGCCTAGACAATTGTGTTCTTACCTGATATTATTCTCAAGATCTTCATAGATCAAGGTTTTGAATAAGTCTTTTCAAGATCAAGTGGAACACCTTCCAGCTATACAACACAACTAAAATTTATAATCCATTTATCCTGAGAAGCTTCTAGGTAGGGGTTGCATTATCAGTTTTCTATATAACAATTTGTTGATTCAACAAGTATTTTATTTTAAGTGGTTGTACCCCCCAAAATTCAATTTCAAAGACTTATTAAAGCTTATACCATAATGTAGTTACTCTTTAAGCTGCCGTAGGCTTCTGTGGGCTTTGTTGCATTTGATATTTTTTAAGAAAAAAAAGACAATTCTGTGTAACTGGCTATCATTTTTATCTCTTGAAATTGAGACTTTATTTACAGGACTGGTGGGATCATTCTACTTCCTTGCTTTGAATCTCCATCACATAAGCTTATGAAACAGAAAATGAAAGCCAGATCAAATCAAAATGTTTATTATGCCCTTTGGGTCAGAGAACCCTACAATAAAAGTACATAAACCTCAAGACCATTATTTAAATTCTTTACTAATATAGACGGATTGAAAGCACCTACAATTCTTCAGTGCATCCCATACCTGGGGATAATTTGATTGCTGATGGTTTAGATGTAAGCTTTGCGGCTCCACAGAATTTAAAGCTTTTTTTTTTCCAGTGGGTGTTGTTACTGTACAAATAAAATGTGGGTCAGCCAAATTGGAACAATGAATTAGGAGTTCCCCGAGTTTCATCCCTTTCAAACTCCTACTTGACCGAAGAGTTGCAGCTGCAGAATCAGGCCTCACATTCCTTAAAACAACATGTCAGTTGTGGGAATAGGCGTTCCCGTCTCTTGTCTCTACCCCAATCAGTCCCTTGCTAATGAGGTGATTCATCTCCGCGGGAGTGTCCCACTGATGTAGCTGAAGTAACATCCATGGTATTGGAGAACAGGGATTAACAATGAACCCACCTCACTGTGGGAACAACACACACTTCCACGTTCATCTCACTTAGCTAGCAAATATTTCGAAGGCTGTTATTCCGGTGCTAGACACTCCCGTTAATTTTGACCAAAACCTTTTGCCCTACCTACAGCAATTTCATGCCAGTTTAGAAGGGTTAGTACCACTTTGTAATGTCTTAACACCACATTTGGAATATTGCATCCAATATTTTGGTTGCCACTATATAAAAAAGATGTTGGGACTCCAGAAAGAGTGCAGAGAAGAGCAACAAAGATGATTAGGGGACTGGAGGCTAAAATATACGGAGAACAGTTGCAGAAATTGGGTATGTCTAGTTTAAGGAAAAGAAGGCCTAGGGGTGACATGATAGCAGTCTTCCAATATTTGAGGGGCTGTCACAAAAAAGAGGGGGTCCACCTTATTCTCCAAAGCACCTGAAGGCAGAACAAGAAGCAACGGATGGAAACAAATCAAGGAGGACCAACATAGAAATAAGGAGAAATTTCCTGAGTTAGAACAATGAATCAGTGGAACGGCTTGCCTTCAGAGGTTGTGCATGCTCCATCCCTGGAGATCTTCAAAGATATTGGACATCCACTTGTCTGAAATGGTATAGGATCTCCTGATTGAGCAGGGACTTGGATTAGAAGACCTACAAGGTCCCTTCCAACTCATTATGCTGGCTAGGAATTCTAGGAGTTGAAGTCCACAAGTCTTATAGTTGCAAAGTTTGGACACCAAGGTTTAAACCATGGAAAGCTGAAGAACTGCCTGCTTAAAGGCAAACAGACCTGGATCTGCCAGAGAGAGGCAAAATGGTGATGGCAAGATTTAAATTTGTAAGGTGGAAAATTAAATGGATGCTTATTCTCTCCTTCGCATTTTTCTTTTCGGCGGCCTTCAAACCCAGAGATTTTATTCACAAGCCATGCTAAAAAATTTTTTAATCCTGTCTTATTAAACATGTAGCTAGGGAAAGTTACATGTGTTTTTCAATTTTTGGAGCAGCTCTTGGTTTTTCTTTTAATTTGAGACGTCTATGGATTGGTTAGAAGCATGAGAAGGACCCAGAAACAAACTAGGGAGCCATTGTTAATCAGAAGTGTAAACTCAAATTTGGAGAAGGCAGGCTGGTTTACTTCTCTATCATCACAGAGTGAACTTGCCAGAAAGGTGACTTAAGAAGGTTCTGCTAACCTGATTCTTTGATATGTTGTTTAACACACCAGACATATGACACAGCACTTTCAAAGTTTGGATTATCTTGAAAACATGATATAAAATACATACCTGAAGACCGTCTTCATGGGGAATAGGATAATGCCAACAGTAACAAGATACGAAATCTGTGAGTAATTTTCTTTTTATACTGAAATGAAAAATCAATGCTGCTAACATGAAATACACTTGTTGTATGCTTGTTATTTTCTTCGTATGTTGCCTTGAGATGGTCTTGCCAACCACCGGGAGGTGATAGAGTGCCATGAAAACCACTAAATTTGTTGAAAATTCACAAAGGTTTAGGTCAACTGAAAAAAAGAAACCCTTCCATGCCCACAAACTAATTAAAGGCTATGCTAAAGCCAAAGAATTAACAAAGAACCTGCAGTTACTTTCTAAGACAAACCAAAATCCTGATTGGATAATGATAGTGTTGCTCTCAGATTCATAACTTTTGCAATCATCATGAGAAAAATCCCTTCACTATGGGAAACTACATTAAACTGGAGCAGTTGGGAACCACCCATCTCAAGTCGTTCATTTCTATAGAGGTAATAACAATTGTAGAATCGCATGAATCTGGAGTTTTTTGACTGGATGCTTCCTTGAAATCCAGCACATTTGGCTAAATATATACTTGCTTGTTGCTTTCAGTTAAAAAAAACCACTTTGTGGATTAAAAAAAAATGACTGAGGAACTACTGATTTGTTCTTTACAACTTACAACCGTTCGTTTAGTGACCGTTCAAGTTACAACAGCACTGGAAAAACTGACTTGCGACCGGTTTTTCACACTTACGACAGCTTCAGCATCCCCGTGGTCACGTGATCCAAATTTAGGCGCTTGGCAACTGACTCGTATTTACGACAGTTGCAGCGTCCCGGGGTCACGTGATCCCCTTTTGTGACCTTCACACCAGCAAAGTCAATGGGGAGGTCAGATTTACTTTACAAACGTGTTACTAACTTAACTGCATTGGTTCACTTAACAGTGGCAAGAAAGGTCATTAAAATGAGGCAAAACTCACTCAACAACCGTCTTGCTTAGCAACAGAAATTTTGGGCTCAGTTGTGGTCAGAAGTCAAGGAGTACTTGTATTCTTACTTAAATGGAAATAGTCAGCGCAGTTCCCTTCTCTCATGCAGGATGGGAACAAAGCTCCTACAAGCGATAGGCGAGTCCCAGCCTTCTTTGGTGCTACCTGCCAGATAAATCTTTCTGTAAAAACCAGCTGCTTCAAATTGGCAGATTTTCTCAGCGTTTGGAGATGGGAAGTTCACAAACACAGTAGAGGGAAACTTGCAGAAGAGTCAGCTGTCTCCATCTTGTGGACAACGATAGTAACCCCGTTACTTGGCTGCAGTGCTGATTTCTATGCAATTGTGACGCTTTTCAGTTGTCTATAGCAGGGGTCCCCAACCCCTGGTCCATGGACCGGTACAGGGCTGGAGCATGCCAACAACCGGTCCGCACAAACAAGCAAAGCCCCATCCGTGGGATGCAGGCAGCACACAAACCCATCCCTCTCCAGTGCGCGGAAAAACTTTTCTCCACGGAACCGGTCCCTGGTGTCCAAAAGGTTGGGGACCTCTGGTCTATAGGTATTCATTTGTTTTCATGGTTTTGATTATTGTGATATTGTTTGCCACCCTGAATCGATCCGATTGAGATGGACGGCTATAGAAATTGAGTCTGTCTGTCTATCTAAAAAAAAGAAATATTAAGTCACCCAAAAAAAGACGGTCAGCTTTAGGAGGGGGGAGAGAAAGGTTGACGGTTGCTACATTCGGCCCACGAAGTATTTGCTTTATTTTTATATAAATAAAATGTAAAAACGGCATTGGACCGCACACTAATCATGAGTGTAAAAATAGATAATTTCCTGCAACACAATTCAATATTATCCCTCGCCATATAAAGAAAAACACACACACACCAACACACACATACAGAGAGGCAAATCTATAACAATAAAGCCAGATATCTAAGAGGTTGAACTCACACTTAGGTATTCGTAACTGGACTGTTAATGTAACAGTCCAAATATAAAAGAAATAAGCAAAAACACTCATAACACCATCACCACAGGCTTTTCTCCACACTTTTCATTTAAATATATTTAAGTATCTCTTCTCTGAGAGTCTTCTGATGTTGAGGACTAATCGAAGTTGATCTGCGGGCTGTCAAAGCCACTGTCTTGTTGACAATCCATCACCCTGTGTGTGTGTCTCCTTGATTGTAGTGAATGATAGTTTTTTCCTGCTGCAGAACACAGCACAGCGTTGTTCGGATGGGCCCTAGCAGGACCTACGCTGTCCAAGTGTGCAAACGGAGTACAACTCGAACTCACAGCCAGATGGCTTTCAGTGCAATTTATGTTTTGATTCTTGGTAAGTTCCTTCTCGTTACGTCCACCCGGACGCTGCGAAAAAACAGAAGCCTGTTCCTTGACCTGGGAACGGGTGTTGGTCGTGGGAAGCGCTGAATGGGAGTCTAGAGGCCCCGTGGAATATATTTTTCGACCAGGATGATGCTGAAAGCCACCACTACCGTTCACATGAAAAGCCTCACTTAATAAGCTCCAGTCAGCAGAAGACCCTTCATCTCTTACTGGGGTTTCTTGAACTTCAAAACCTGGAGTTTCCCCAGATTTTGCCTTCCACTGTCTAGTAGTCTGGCTACCTCCAACCTCCGTTATTCTTGGCCTTTCGTTTAGATACTTATACTTTTCGCCAGCGGTTCCAAAGTCAGAGCCATCCCCTGCAGCGGGATGAAGACTTTGAAGCTTTCCTTGGGACCCGTAAGAGGAAGCATTCTGGAATGTTCCCACCCTACACGGTAGACCTTTGTTTCCAAGCTCTTCCTCGCCGAAAGCTTCTGCGGGGGCGGCACCAACTGAAGACTCGTCCAGTTGCTTAAAAGCTTTCCTGACCATCTGCGTTTGAGAAACTAGGCGCGACTCGCTCGCGGCATCAAGCTGTGGCTGCAAGCTACGAGGTGTGTGTGTTTTGCCCGTGTTTTCATCATGTGTTTGATTTTCTTTTGGGGTTGACTTAGAATGTTGAGTGTAACTCGCTTTAGATTCTTCAGCTTTGGAGCTTTGGGGTAGGACTGCAAGGCGACACGGAAAGCAAAAAGAAATTAAAACAGGCACATCCAAACTCCCTACCAATGAACTCAACATCCTCTAGGTGGTGAACATTACGTTCTCTCCTTATTAAAAAAAAAAAGATGGCATGCATGAACATCAGACATGGCAGTATACCTGAGTGTGGGGTTTTATTTAGTGCTGAGTTCCGAACAGGAGTTTCTAATATTTTAGCCATTGTAGCAATCTTGCCAGCAGCACATATTATCTTCTTTTCAGCCCTGCAAAAGTAACACGTTGTTTTTTTTTAAAAAAAAAAATCTTTAAAAAGCCTATCTAGTCAACTAAGAATCCAAGCAAGAAGAGAAACTTTTGAACTTGCTTAAAATTTTGAAGAAAAAATGATTTTGGCTACACAGAGCTCCCTTTTTAGCTTTATAGCCATTCAATTTTAGGGAATTTGTGACGTGCTGGATGAACCCACGGGTCTGTAGGAGGCAGAGTGAATGAACAAATAAATGAATAGAAGAAGATTCTATCTGTTATCTTCTATTAAAAAGATAACAGATCTCTTTTCTTTTTCTGTCTCTGCAGTTCACCTGAAATTGTTGTATACACTATACCAGGGGTAGGCAACCTTGGCTCTTTTATGACTCATGGACTTCAACTCCCAGAATTCCTGAGCCAGTATGGCTCAGCTTGGAAACCTCTCCCTTTCCCCTCAGCATGGCTGGCTCAGGAATTCTGGGAGTTGAATTCCACGAGTCATAAAAGAGCCAAGGTTGCCTATCCCTGCACTAAACAAACAGAGCAATATAAACCAGGAAATCACACACAAAAAAACCCCAATCCACAAAAACACCTTGAGGTTCCTCATCCAAGGACTTTGCTGAGAGTTCTCTTCCCATCTAACATCATTTGAAATGCCTCACCCTTCATGCTTGCCGTTATCCACCAGAAGCTGTTGAAGACAAATAAGATAATATTTGCGCATTTTTCGGGCAGTCTCCTGCCGTTCCCTTAAAACTTCAGCTTTTATAATTTCTGCTGCTCTCTCCTTACTTTCATGGATGTAACGAAGCATGTCACCTACGAACAAACGACACCAATTTATATTTAGCGAGGCACATAAACCATAGATTCGCAGTGGACAACGTTCACTGTATCTGTATAGTATTGATTTATACAAAGAATAAGGAACTGTACCGAAGTTCCTTATTCTTTGGTGAGAAGGCAAGGAACAGAGAAGGGGCTTATCCCATGTATGTAGACAGGATCAGAAATTTTTTCCCCCCTCTTTCTTCTAAGCTGCTCACCCTTGGTACCACTATAAACACCAGTAGACACTCAACAAGACTTGAAATATGAAGAAGACTAGTAGTAAATAACGTATTAGAAGATTCCATACCATACATGGCAATGCAAAAAGAGAAGGTCAAAGAACACGAGGCAGACTCAGAAGAAGATGGAGAGACAATTTCAAAGACACACTACAACAAGGGTTGAAGCTGCCAGAAGAGCAAGAACGAGAACTCGACACCCGAAGCAGTAAAAGAGGAATTAAAGAAGAGAAGAACAGATCAGAATTTTCCCTCCGTCGCAAGTTTAATAATAATAATAATAGTAGTAGTAGTAGTAGTAGTAGTAAAGTTGGAAGGGACCTTGGAAGTCATCTAGTCCAACCCCCTGCTCAAGCAGGAAACCCTATACCATTTCGGACAAATGGCTGTCCAGTCTCTTCTTAAAAACCTCCAGTGTTGGAGCATTCACCGCTTCTGGAGGCAGGTTGTTCCACTGGTTAATTGTTCTAACTGTCAGGAAGTTTCTCCTTAGTTCTAGGTTGCTTCTCTCCTTGGTTAGTTTCCATCCGTTGCTTCTTGTCCTGCCTTCAGGCGCTTTGGAGAATAGCTTGACTCCTTCTTCTTTGGGGCAGCCCCTGAGATATTGGAACACTGCTATCATGTCCCCCCTAGTCCTTCTCTTCATTAAACTACTAGACATCCCCAATTCCAGCAGCCGTTCCTTATATGTTTTAGCCTCCATTCCCCTAATCATCTTTGTTGCTCTTCTCTGTACTCTTTCGAGAGTCTCAACATCTTTTTTACATCGCGGTGACCAAAACTGGATGCAGTATTCCAAGTGTGGCCTTACCGCATCCAGTTTTGGTCACCGCGATGTAAAAAAGATGTTGAGACTCTCGAAAGAGTACAGAAAACAAAAACAAGGCTGAACCGATTATGTCACTCCACCTTCTTTACCACTTACTTTTAATTTTGCTCACTGTTTTAAGATACTGGGAACGCATCTCTTCCAAAGCTTTTCCATTACACGAACAGCAAGGTCTTGAGACACAGCCTTCTGAGGACGACCTGGAAGCACAGGAAACGGGATGCCCAAACCGAAAATGAAATGACAACTGCCCAGAGAAGTTTAGTATTATATTATAATAAAAGTTATTATTTCTCTTGTCACGTATGGGCTACCTGGGAGGAATGTTGACACATTTCAAATCATCAAGTTGGTTCTTCATTGCAGAATTTTCTTCCAGGAGGGCTTTCATAATTTTTTCATTCTCTAAAAAAGAGAGAGAGAGAGGAAAAACCCTTGAAGTGTTACATTTAATTTGGTGTTACATAATAACCCAGCAATTTTGTTTTTGTTATGATTTAGAATTCCAATTGATTGTTATTCTACTAGTGACCTTTTGGGTTACTCTTCTAGAAGGCTGTTACTTTTTGAACACAAAAGCTGTTACTCATAAAATTCACTGGTATTAAAATATTGTAGTTATTCCAAGGTTCATAACGAATACAGGACAAAACAATTCTCTATTGGGTGTAATATGATAACTGGGGAAAATCATACAGAACTTAACATCAAAAGTATTAATAACATGACTCTGGCTTGGCCAATAGCAAATGTCCCCATCCTTGGAAAGAGTAATTAAAATCCTGGGAGAATGAGAGGTAATTATTTTTACAAAAGCTATTTAACAAGTCCGTTGAAAACCTAACTGCAAGTGATATAATTATTTTCTATAGTAAAGCATTAAGTTAAATTAACTACAAAGCTTTAAACAAATGTATCGGAGGCTTATTTTACATGTCAATATATTATTAAATCATAGAAACATCAAGTTATTATATTGTGCTTATAAGAATAAGGGATAATGTTTATTTCACAGATATGTTTTCAGAAACCTTAAACTACATTAAGGATAACGGGATTTCTATTTTTATGTATTTAACTGGCATCAAACAAAGAATCAAATTAAGCGCATGCACGAATGAACTAGTTGTTCTTATTCAACATCAACATGTAAAAGTTAACAGACCTTGGGCTTGTTCAGACTTTGTTTTTTGTTCCTTCACAGCAAGCTGGAGATGCCTGCAAGCTTTGTCAAGTTTCTTTTTCAAATCCTCACATTCTTTTTCCTTTTTTTCCAGCTGCTGTCGATAATGCTCAAAACAAATCTCGTCTTGTGATGACATATTTCTTTTTTTACATTTACAATCTGCACCAACAAATGTGAAAAGTTACTGGTTACTTTTGGCTGACCAAGCAACCAAAGAGAAAAGATAATCCTACCACCACCAGGTTGTAGTTATTATGGACATCTTAGCTGTTGTTTTAAAAGAAACTTTTCTGGAAGCTGCAGAGTTTCACCAGGAATGCCCATGATCTATGTGTGTGTTCGTTTCCTAACAATGAAGAATTAGTAGTGAATTTGAACTATTATTCTCAAGGAGTCCCAGTTACAAGGTCTGTAATTCTAGGTTTACAGTATACAAAGTCTCACCGTACACTTATGTAACCTTTAGAAAATCACAGAAATGGAGACAATATTATTGACACCCATCAGAAAACTGCCCAGGATTACAAGCTCAGTACCTAATGAAGGAGCGCTCTAGATTTTACTTTATAAAGATGTCATCCAGCGCCTAACACACCTTATTTCCAGAGTATTCTTTCACATCTGTGCAATTTTCTATCTAAACCTGATATGTCCAATCTTGGCAATTCTAAGACTTGTGAACTTCGACTCCCAGAATTCCCTGGCCAGTTGCCAAGGTTAGTCCTGCTCTCAACGGTCTCTCTATTGGCTAGCACAGCTGAATGCGACTAGGAAAAACTGAATTTATGTGTTAGGTAAAATAGAATCAAGCAAGATTCCAATTAAAGCGAGAAATGGATGCAATGTAATACCAAGATCTATTTCAGTCTCCTGCAAAGGTGGATATTTCCTTAGTATCCGCTGTAGTTCGACTTGCTGCCCAATGTTATACGTGGAAGGCCTGAATTTGTCTCCAGGCTCCCCTTCACCGTTCTGCATGCAAGAGTCATCCGAATCTTTGAAAACGGAGCCCAGATGTTCATGTTTCTAGAAAGGAGCACACAGACAGAAATTTTACACGAACAGACAGCAATTCAGAACCAACTCTTCAAATCAATCTTGCGTTCCAAGAAAAAAAAAATCCAACTTGCTTACCACGTTCAAAGCAGAGAAGACGCTAGTTTTCTTCCCAATAAAGGACAAAAGTGGGATATATATACATCTGACACAGCTAAACCTAATAACTACTCCTTCATTTTTTTGGGGAGGCAAAGAGCAGCTCAGGTCCAAGTGGAGAATATATTCAGTTGTGACACGTCAGTAGCCACAATAAAAAATGGAGGGAGTGGAATGCAAAAACAATGTATGGAACCCAGTGACATCAGGGGCACCAATCTCAGCAGAGAATCTAGAACAGGGATAGGCAACCTTGGCTCTTTTATGACTTGTGGACTTCAACTCCCAGAATTCCTGAGCCAGCCATGCTGAGGGGAAAGGGAGAGGTTTCCAAGCGGAGCCATGCTGGCTCAGGAATTCTGGGAGTTGAAGTCCACGAGTCATAAAAGAGCCAAGGTTGCCTACCCTGATCTAGAACCTTAAAACTTGTTGCAGTTCATCAACTGGTGTGCTCTTGGTTATAAATTTGTTGTGTATTTTTTGTCACTTTTAATTTGCTTTGTTATTCCCTTTCCAAGGGAATTCTTAATGCTTGGCTTTGAAACTTAATAAAGGTACTATTAAAAAGAAATGATTTGCAAATATACGGATTCTTCTGCTTTAAATATATTTTTGTATTATATTGATATGGTGCACATCAGCATTTATTTTTTTTTACTTTCATATAGCGACCGTCCTGTTTTTCTGACTTCTGCTGTTAAAAAGTGGAAAACAAAGGACCATAAGCGAAGTATAAAATCAAAATACGAATCATCTAAGGCAGTGGTGGCGAACCTATGGCACGGGTGCCAGAGGCGGCACTCAGAGCCCTCTCAGTGGGCATGCGCGCCATCACCCCAGATCTAGGCCTTCAGCTGGGTTTTATAAAACCTTTTCGCTTTAGGCCTCCGCAGCCGTGTGCAAAAAAAAAAAAAAGGTTCAATCAATTTCAACTTCTCGCAGGAAAAAAAAAAGATCTCGCAAAGTTGGAATTGATTGATTGAACTTTTTATCCCACCCAGTCTGCCATAATCATCGCAGCCACGCCCACCCAATGGGCCACACCCACCCAGCACCCGACGATGCATAAATGGGTTTTGGGTTGCAGTTTGGGCACTCGGTCTCTAAAAGGTTCGCCATCACTGATCTAAGGCCACGTTAATGTTACCTGGTTCCACTTTTTCGTTGCTTTTTCGAGAATGGCGCTGACCGTGCTTCGGTAGGCTTTCTGCAAACAAAATGCTAGTTTGTCTTTGAACTGGTGACTGATCTGAAGAGGGGGAGACACGTTCCACTTAGTTTCCCAAGCACATTCACAACTTGCACACTGGATCAAATCCTTGTGGAGGTCATCTAAGAGAAGTTCTACCTGAACGAGGATCCTGTCCTCGTACTGATGGACTTCGTTTTGAAGTCTTTTGGCTTCCTGAACAGCCCATTCCTGTTGCTTCCTGACGAGGCACGTCTTCAGCTCGGCTTCTTTTTGGTCCAGCAATTCTTTCTTTTGACTTTCAAAGTCTTCTTTGGCTTTTGCAAACATCTCGGCGAGTTTAACCTTCTGGTCCTGCAAAAGGGCGCGGCGCTCTTTTTCGTTTTGGTCTTGCACGCTGAGGATCTCCCCTTGCTTTTCTTTAATCCACTGAGAATGAGCTTTCGCAAGCTCTGCTTTGATGAGCGAGGGGATCTCCTCTTGCTTCAGCTCCAGCTCCCTTCGGAGGGACAGCGCCTTCTCTTCAAGCTCTTTGATCCTTCTCCGGGCTTCATCGCTGGTCTCAAGCTGCTTCTTCCATCTCTCTTCAGCCGCTGATACCTAAAGAGGCCACACAGAAGTCTGTCAGTTAATGCCTTAAATGCAGGGGGTCTCCACATTTGGCAAACTTTAAACCTTGTGGACTTCGACTCCCAGAATTCCACAGCCAGCCATGGCCATGAATTGAAGTCCACAAGTCTTAAAAGTTGCCAAGTTTGGAGACCCCTGGATTATGACGGAAGAGGCATACAGCAGTCTTTTAAGCAGGTTAAATTGTTAAGTACGGAAACATATTCCTTAATCTTTTTCCTATCAGAGTAAGAACGGTTTGGATTACTGCAAGGGGAGGAACATAATGGGAATTAGTATTTTAATAAGTAGGGGAAAGCTTGTCCACAAAGTTGCCAAGTTTGGAGGTCACACACACACACACACACACACACACACCCTGCCATTATGCCTAAAGACTTCTCTGGATGCTTTCACATGGATTGGGAGAGGTATACCTCAGTTTGAAATTAACATAGGAGGGTAGCTGTCCAGGAGAGCCAGACTCCTTTCTCCTCCAGCCTATTTCATTTGTGATCCTAGTGGTTAGTACTGATGTTACCATAGTTAACTATTAAACCCTAGTTCAGGGGTAGGCAACCTCGGCTCTTTTATGACTCGTGGACTTCAACTCCCAGAATTCTTGAGTCAGCTATGCTACCGTTCTCCGCTACCTTTTCTGCTGTGCTGATTTCCGATTCCTTTTCCCATTTTTCTTTGGCTACCTTCAAGTGGTTTTTGTACTCCTCGAGGTCGGTAAGTTCTTGCAGCCACAAGGCACGAGCTTTCGTCAGAGCTGCTTCCACCTAGTTGAGTAAGCAAAGTTAATAGTAAGCAAAGGTCAAGAAGCCATTTCTGCCAGAAAAACAAAACAAAGCATGGAAGTCCAGTTTCAGCTCTGTTTCAATTAATTGCATGTGTAAAATTGTTGCTTTGATTAAGATAAGTCAATGCCAGTTTCATTCTGTTTCCAAAAACCTTACAGTTTATTGAATACACGGCATGGTAATGTCGAAGCAAAACTCACTCTGAGGTTCCCAGACGCCGGTTCATAGAATTAAACAAGAATTTCCCCAGCCAAACCCTCCCACCAACCTCTCAAATAATTTGACTTTGTTATGGGAACCGTCTGCTTCATCTCCGCACCTGCTGCAGTGTCCTTGGAAGGGTTTCAGGCTCTCCCGGTCTTCAGCAGAATTGTAGACGTTTCGTTTTTCCATTTAACCCATTTAAAGCATCACCTCCTCCGCCTTACTCTAATGCCAAGTTGAAACGAAGAGGCAGGTAGCTGCCAAAGTTTCATTCTTGACAAGGACTACCCGTAGTCGTTTTCGAGATTTAGCCGGAAAGCAATTATTTACTCCAAATCACATTGATTGTACATGTTTGGGTTTTATCTTGTACCCCCATAAAAATAAAGCCGCCTGTCACCTGAGTGGCAATGCTCTCGTGGTAGTTCGCTTCCTGCTCCCTCAACGACCTTTCCTTTGCTTTCAGAGCCTCCTTCAACGACAACGTTTGTTCCTCTACCGCCCCGGCAATCACTTGGCGCAGAGTTTCATCCGTTTGGCTGTCGTGATCTTTGAGTTCCACCGTGGCCCTCTTGGTCTCTTCCAAAGCCTGGGCTAGTCTTTGTTGCCATTTTTTTTCAACTTCCTGACAAGCCTGCTCTTGGGCCTGTAGGGAACAGAAAACTGCGCTAAACAAAAGTTAAATTTCACATGGGAAATCTTTGGGGGAGGGAAAAATCTAAATAAAACCAAGGCTTGGATTCTTCTTCTTTTTTTCTCTAGTAAGCAGAAAGAATAGGAGCTGGATGTTGAATTTGCACAGGGATGGATTAAGGTGTTTTTTAGAGAACACTTGCAAAAATTAAGTATCAAAGAACCCCGAGCTTCCTTAAAATCAGAAGGGTATACATTTTATACTGGAAGAGGCTGAATTACCAACAGCCATTGAAAAAGTTGTTTCTTGCTATGCTTTTAAGACCCAGGGAAAAAGGTCTTCAAGAACTGGTGAATTTCTTCATAATCCCACCCACCCAGTCTCTGTGAAATTGCGCTTGGAGGCTCTCACTTGTGTAATAGCAGAAACTCCAGCATACCTCTTTCTGTTCTTTCTCCCAAATGTTTTTGGCAAGTTCCACATCCTTGTCAAGGCGCTGCCTTATGTCAGCTTCGTTTTCCTTCTGCCACTGGTTCTTTGTTAGTTCCATGGAATTCTTGTATGTTTCTTCTAGTTCGTTCCTTAGTCTGTTCAAAGAATCTTCCTTTTCCACCAGTAACTGTTAACGTTCAAAGTAGATGTTAGGGCATCATTCAGATAAGAGATCGTGTTGATTAAAGAGGTAAAAAGGGAAGGTGTCTTGCAGTTCCCTTGATCGCATACATTTCTTTTTGCACATGCTAACGTACCACCTCTTACTCAAAACAACTTCTTTATCCTGTAGAAGTGTTTGAGCACTAGCAATAGCACAGACTTAGATACCGCTTAGATAGTACTTTACAGAACCCTCTGGGCAGTTTACAATGTCATCCTATTGCCCCCAACAATCTGGGTCTTTATTTTACCAACCTCAGGAGGATGGAAGGCTGAATCAACCTGTTGGAACTGAACTCCAGGCTGTGGGCAGAGTTTTCCTGCAATACTGCATTCTAACCACTGCACCACCGGGGCTCCTAGCGTGTAATCATATATCCCACTAATTAGGGAGAAGTTAAGATTGCTCAGGACCCTCATTTAGCCCTGATATTTTGCAACGGGTCTCTCTGTAATAAACTAAGGCTATTTGGGCCGCTACCTTTGCCTCTCTCTGATGCCGCTCTTGTTCAAATGCTGCTTTCAAAATGGCGGCCTGCTCATCTTTCTCCTTGCAGACGGCAAGGTAACATTCTTTCACTACAATCATCTCTTTATTCAGGTCATCAATGTCCAACCTAGAGGGGAAAAAAAATCATGACATGGAAGAAGTTAGAAGGTCAAGACACGTACATGAAGCATAAATGTATTTCAGATGTTTCAGTTTAGCTTTTCAAATACATTCATACTTTAATTGAGCAATGTTCTCTTCATAGGCGTGGATGAGTTTTTCCTTCTCCGCAACGTGTTTTCCTGCAGACTCCTCAAGGAGCTTTTTCTTTGTGTCTTCATAATGTTGTCGATAGGTTCTTTCGCACCTGGAGGAGGAAAGGGAAAAACTTTATTTATTGCTTGAGAAAGCATGATAAGTCCAGGGCCTAGGACAGTATAAATGCAGCTTCACTGGCCATATCCATTCAAATTTGAAGAACACAGAATATAAAAGATAAGTGTATAATAATAGTAATAATAATAATAATAATAATAATAATAATAATAGTAGTAGTAGTAGTAGTAGTAGTAGTAGTAGTAGTAGTAGTAGTAGTAGTAGTAATAAAGTTGGAAGGGACCTTGGAGGTCATCTAGTCCAACCCCCTGCTCAGGCAGGAAACCCTACACCATTTCAGACAAATGGCTGTCCAGTCTCTTCTTAAAAACTTCCAGTGTTGGAGCATTCATCGCTTCTGGAGGCAGGTTGTTCCACTGGTTAATTGTTCTAACTGTCAGGAAGTTTCTCCTTAGTTCTAGGTTGCTTCGCTCCTTGATTAGTCTCCATCCTTTGCTTCTTGTCCTGCCTTCAGGTGCTTTGGAGAATAGCTTGACTCCCTCTTTGGGGCAGCCCCTGAGATATTGGAATACTGCTATCATGTCCCCCCTCGTCCTTCTCTTCATTAAACTAGACATACCCAATTCCAGCTGTTGTCCAGTCAACCACCAAGAGCTCTCCAGAAGAGTTTCTGTTTTACCAGTTCTCAGAAAGCAATCTGATGGCGCCAATCTAGTTTCCGGGGGAAACAATTCTACAAGACCAGGGCTATGACACAGAAACAATGACTCTAACTTCATTTCCTATTAATTATGGACAAGGGGGATCACCAGAGTTTCTTCTCAGGAAGAGTACAGTGGATGGGTTGATTCCAGCTGAAGAAGGAGACCCAACAAGCATCTTATTTCCAAGCTTTAGAGGGCTTTGTAGGCACTTTGAATTTGCACCCAGAAAGGCTATTGGCAATCGCCGCAGAAACTGTGGCATAATACAATCTTAGTGATTACAACATTTCCATCCCCTTGGAGCCAGCAGGCCAAAAAGAGTCCTATTGCAAAAAGATAGCTATTGTGCCTGTCACCAATGGAGCCCACCCTTGAAGGGTTTTTAGTGAATCTGAACAACTGTGTACAACCGTCGCAACGGCCTGGTAAGAGATGAATTGACTCATTTCTTCCCAGATGGGAAATGGCCAGCCTAACGCAATCACGTTTTGGTCTTCCTCTGATGGAGTTCTAGGCATAAAACTGTAGAGTTCCATTAAGTACTTGGTCGGGGCCCAAAACATCTTAGTGACATCTCTGGGGAACTGTCAAGCATAAAAACTGCTCTGAGGGAATCTAGAAGGAAAATGTTCTTACGCCTGGGTCTATCTTCTGGATACATCTACAAAACACTACCAATACAGATGAGTCTTTATACAGAAAAACAGAAGATAATTTAAGATCAATAAAGGCCACTCTATGTTTACTTCAACTTTCCCTCCCAAGTCACCTGTCGAGGGCTTCTTGTTTATCCCGATCAGAATCCTGAACCATCTGCCTCATCTGATTGCACAGGTCTTGATTTGCGTTTTTTAGCTGTTCTTTGCCTTCCAGAAGTTCCTGAATACATGCGTTATGACTCTGATGAAAGAGAAAGAGGATTAAACATGACCTCATACTTTAATTATTTAAGACATATTTCCAGGCTGCTGCAATGCAAATTATTCTTGGCAGCGTACAGGGTGTTGATATGGCACTGCGCTCAAATTATTAATCTTTCTGGCTTTAAGAATGACATATTATGAACAACATTATCAGACCCTTGAGACGGGACAAGAAAAATTCATAAGATTCCTATCTAGGCCATAGATGCAAAAAAAAGGATTACAACGAAGAAATTAAAGCAGTTGTAACCAATTTCTTAGGAAATGCATTTCTCTTCGGGGATTGTGCAAAATGCTTCTTAAAACAAGTCATTGTTCATTCTAGGTGCGTTGCATAAAAATGGCCCTTCTTAACTTCAGAGATAGCTCATGTTTTTTAATAAAAGGTGTTAGAAATAAAAGGTGCTTCAGACTTCTGATTTATTTATTTTTTGCTACCATTGACTAACATGGTTCCCTGCATGCAACATAATGTAAATCAACTTTTTCCAAGCTGTGGCCCCCAATGAATCGGGGTGCGAATTCTGTGGGTTTCCAGCCATGTATCTACCTTGCATTTGGTGGAACTTCAGCATGGTTAAGGACTGTTATGGATGCCTTTCTACCAACAGGCATTTCTGTGCATAGAGGATGCTATGATTTTTGTGCGAGAGACCCTAGGAGCCTATGTCAGTTTTCATCCCATCTAAAGATGTTGTGTGTACAATGGTCCACCTGTTGTTCTTTCACTTATAGAAAATTAATTAACCATAAACAGCTTCATCTGATTTTATAAGACAAGTGCTCTCGTTTTATCTTCCCTCCCAAATCAGGTCACAGCATGGGAATATCTTATCCAATCAGACGCTAAAGATACTTTATCTTTGGACATGAAAAAAAAAAGCACCTCAATCTCCTGCTGCAATTCTTGGTTTTCCTTTTTGAGCTTCAGCATTTCATCGGAGGAATGATACTCTGTGGAATCAGATGGACTCTCCATGTTTTTCCCTTTAGTCTAATATAAAAGAGAAGCACAGAGAATATTTGTTAGTTTTTAGCTGAATTTTATACAACCAAAAAATCTATCTAAAAAAAAAAGTGTACCGTCCCACTCCAATTTGTAGGAGATGGTAAAGATGGGTAGCATTAGGCTGTGTTAAACATGCACTATTTGGTGCAGAAGGAAGTTGGTGTGCAATGGAACAAGGCAATGTTAATGGAGGGTTGTGCAATTTTATGTCTTGCTACCTGAGATTAATCTCCTCCAACTTTCTGTCCTATATCTGTCTTATATCCAGATTCAGTCACAGTTTCATTCCATACAGCATTAACCTTGTGAACTCTCAAGCTTCCTCCTTCCGTTATGTATTCCAGATGGACAGTGTTTAATATTTATTTGTTATGTATATGTAGGGGTGTGGGTCTATACATATGTTGTATATAGTATGTTTAGATGTGTGTCATGTATGTGTTCACTTTGAGAGCGGGCAACTAAATTTCATTTTTGATGTGTGCTGTTGTGCCCACAGTAAAAAATGACAATAAAGGTTATCTTATCTGCTGCAACAGAGAAAGGAGCAATAGAGACACAGTAAACAGGATAGGAATGGGTGGGACAATGTTTACTACATTTCTCTTCAGATTCAAAAATGATCCAATGGTCCAACAGACAAATATGGGTCTCTGAAGCTGATTTGACTTTCACCTCTAGGTCAATATGCCTTTACATCATGGGTAGTTTGGCCCACAGTGGGCATTCAAGTATAGTCAGCCATTTTCGTACACTAACCAACTAGGCCAGGGGTAGGCAACCTTGGCTCTTTTATGACTCGTGGACTTCAACTCCCAGAATTCCTGAGCCAGCCATGCTGAGGGGAAAGGGAGAGGTTTCCAAGCTGAGCCATTATGGCTCAGGAATTCTGGGAGTCGAAGTCCACGAGTCGTAAAAGAGCCAAGGTTGCCTACCCCTGAACTAGGCCATCCATCAAAACTGTAGCACTAAGTAACTCTGTTATTTTAAGCAAGGACATCACATACAGATGAGGGAGCATGGTGGCTCATGAGGTTAGAACGCTGCCGATTGGCAGGCTCGTGTTTGAGACCCACTGCTGCTGCAGGGTGGGGTGAGCTCCTGTCGCATGCTCCAGCTCTTGCCAACTCAACAGTTCGAAAGCAGGCAACTGCGAGTAGATAAATATATACTACTTTGCTGGACACCTTCACAGGGACAAGGAGCCTCCAACTAGGCATCCCCACCCCAACCACAGCAACGATGATGTTACCAGCAAATCCATTCATCACGGAAGCCCTTCGGTGCTTCCGACATGGAAGTTATTAGTATCGCATGCAAGATCATAGTTACCCAAGAAGGCATCTTTGCCAAGGATGAAGAATTTCAAGGAAACACAGAACGTTTTAACGGGACGTCTGAAGCGTCCTCTAACTTTTGAAGCACATTTCTCAAGGAGAAAAAAAACAAAACACGAATGCTTATCGCTTACGTGACCGGTTGAGTGTTTGCTACTTCAGTTGTATCTTTCTAATCCACTGTCATCATTCTTTTTCTTCCTACAGCTATCCAAGTTTGCTACAGTAAGGCTGGTTTCTCTCAGCGAGCTTTCTAAGCTCTGAGTAAACACTGTCTCCTTCCATCAGAAGTCTGGCAGGGAGTGCTTATAAAACAAACAATTACTTACAAATGCACTTTTTTGTCAGCAAACAAAGCAACAGTTTTGTTTCATCGCTAATGTTTCTGGGGTCTCTTTACTCAGATGTTAGAAACCTGTGGCTTCACTGAAATTCTCAGCAGCCCCATTCAGCAAAGCCAACAATGGGAGCTTTCTGGAGATTGAAAGTCAGAAAACATCTGGAAGATGTCAGATTCTGTACCGTCATCTTTTCTTGAGGGATTTCTGCCGCAGCTTATTCCACTAACAGCCAACATCCTGTCCTCCAAATATTAATTCACAATTCACTGCAATATTTCTTGTGTATTCCTTATCAAAACAAGTGGTCCACCCAATGCATTCCTAAGTTGTGGTGAAACTTGTATTCTGATCACAGCTATCACTGGGGAAAACTAAGACAAGGTCAGTCATAACTGACCTAAGCAACTATAACAAGGGGGAAAAATATATATTAGGTTGAATAAAATTAGGAATACTACCCAATCTGGCTAGTGAGAAAAATATTTAGTAGTTCCAAATTGGCTACAATCGCTGCATTTTGTCCAATGAATAAAAATCCAAAGTGTTAATCTCTGTATGAAATAGAGAGAGCAGTTAACCTTTATTACGGTCGCTAATAGCCAGTTTCGTAACATAGAAAATTATATTCCTATCAAAGATATTAACATACAAAATAAGTAACACCTCTCACGTACGTTTGATTTTACCAGCTGCTGCTTCAGTTCTTCTATAGTCTTGTGACAATCTTCAAGGTCATTTTGCAGTCGAGAAATCCGGTTCCTCTTCGATTTGTTACTGTTGAGTAACCGCTGCATTTCAACCTTCAGCTCCGAAACGATTTCATCTTTAGAAAGCCCTTTATCGGTTTCTTTATTCAATGAACAGCTGTCAAACATTAAAGATAAGAGAAGAGGTTATATTAGATATTCTGAACGTCATAAAATTACTAAGGTTGCACATACAAATCCGCTGTTAGGAGCTACCTAGTCTATGGTTATAATTAGCTTTTCAGCTACACTGAAATCTATCTGTGTTTAGACAATGTATTGACCTACTGGCAGAAAATTATGAAGTTGCTCTGGCTCTCCCATATCAATGATAGTTTTCATCTGCTGTGTGAATCTAGCAATTGTAGTTTATTTTTAAAAACTCACAGAAGCAATGTCTTTACAGGTAAACCGGATCATAATCGGCTGGCTTGATTTTCACTTGTGAGAACCCGAACGATTATGGTTGAACCAACTATGACAGTGATGGCGAACCTTTTAGAGACTGAATGCCCAAACTGCAACCCAAAACCCACTTATGCATTGTCGAGTGCCGGGTGGGTGTGGCACATTGGCCAGGCGTGGCCCATTGGGTGTGCGTGGCCCATTGGGTGGGCGTGGCTGCGGTGGTAACGGCACACTGGGTGGGACTAAAAAGTTCAATCAATCAATTCCAACTTTGCAAGATCTTTTTTTCCCCACGAGAAGTTGAAACTGACTGATTGATTGAACCTTTTTTTTTTTTTTTTGCACACAGGCAGCGGAGGCCAAAAGTGAAAAGGTTTTATAAAAACCAGCTGAAGGCCTAGGACTGGGGCGACGGCACGCGTGCCCACAGAGAGAGCTCTGTGTGCCACCTCTGGCACCCATGCCATAGGTTCGCCACCACTGAACTATGACTAAGCATGGACATGGGGGCAGTTATATCTTATTTTGATCTAGTACTATTCTTAAATTAAAAGGTAGAGGTTTCCTGGTCAGTCGGTGCTCATCTCATCTGTTTCTTGGCTGAGGGAGCCAGCATTGTCCGAAGACAATTTCCATGGTTACGTGGCCGACACGGTTGTATGCCAAGGTGCATGGAACGCCATTGCCTTCCTACCAAAGTGATACCTATTTATCTACTCGCATTTGCACGTTTTTTAACTCGGCCTGTCTGCTTTCCAGCTGACAAGCTCAGTGTCTTTAACCACTGAGCCATCGTGCCCTCTCTCCATCTACCGTAGTAGCATGAATATATTGTCCCTCTTGTCCCTTTTCATAGTGTTGTGATTACCACTATTGTTTTGTTTTGTTTTTTAAAAAAAGTTTTATTGATTTTTATAGGGTTACGGATAAGATGGGGTCAGGACTGGGGTTAAGGTTTAGGCTGGGATTGGGATTAGGGTTGGGGTCAACATTGGGGTTATCCCCCAGTAACATTTTCAATTTTTAGCAAACAGAGTACTGTCTGGATACACATGTTTAACTAACAATAGTTAATATGGTAGTAAATAACAGTAGTAGGTATAATTGTTTATCATAAACAATATTAACTACTTAATCAATCCATAACATTCTTCTTACTAGCATGTATTCAAAATAACATGATTACCGCCATTGTTGAAGTTGACGGCTGGGTCAGCTCTCCAAATTACTGCTGTGTTGATGCATTCCATGGTGTTTGGGGCAAGTTTTGAAAGCTAGCTTATATATTATTATTTTTTAAAATCAACACCAGAATTGGCATGCTATTGGGTGCTAGGGGCTTAAGAGAATACAACATACCGAAGCCATGCTGTAAAAAGAATATGCAAACCAAAAGGTGTCCCATTTTGTTTCTTGAAGGAGAGTGCAGTGGAAGTTCCCATGTAAAATGATTTTAGCCGGGGAATGGAAGTGGCGGCATTTTATATAATTTGCAAATGCAACAATTGGAGGATGCTGAGAAAATGGAGAAATATCCCATGTGAACGTTCCTTATGCATTTTGTTTTCAGTGACAAAGCCATTAATTAATCTGTAATTACCTCTGCAATGTTGTCTTCTTGTTGATTTGCTTAATGCCCAAATCTACGTAGGAATCTGTTAATTCCACATTCAGATTTCCACCTGGATCGTTGAGAAACACACCATGTTTTGTGGCTGATTCATATAGAACAATTTCTTCTTTTAGTTCCTTTACCTCTTCCTATAAATACGGATACTCCATTAAGAGTCAGACAAACTGGAAATAAACTCCATCTCATTTTGAACTCTATGGAATAAAACAATCCTCTACTTTCCATAGAGTTATAGTCTCCAATGGAGGCATTTCTTATACAGCACTTTTAATTTTATACTGGTCCACCTCAGTTCATTTCTACAATATTGAAGAAAAGAAAAGAAAAAATATGAACCTGAAGAGCTTTATTCATCTCATTGCCTAATAACTGTGCAGAGTGAGCTTGCTGAAGCTGCAGACGTAGCTGATTCGTCTCTGTTACTAAGCCTGGAAGGAAACAGAATGAATTTATGAATGTTAAACTAAAAAGTATTTAAGAGAAGAAGGTACAAGCTCGATTGAAACCGCTCATTCACTAATTTAAACCATACTCTAGGTTCCTCTCTTATAACAAATGCAAGAAAAGTACATGGATGTTGCAGTTGTATGGTGGAAAGAGAGTAACATCAGAACTATCTGTTTCCAGCTCTTGGAATTGTGTAATTTCATTTTAGCTTATCTCCCATATTAAAATTAAAATAATAACAGAGAAGTATCTCAAGTCTATTTGCTTTTCTTTAGCACACCCAAAGCTGAAAGAAACTGTGAGGCTGCCCATTATGATAGGCAAGGCTGCCTTGATAGAATGGAGGATTAAAAATAAAGGAAGATGATGTCTAAATATATACTTTCACCTTAAATGTCCTTTGGAAAAGCCTTCTATGCGACTTCTTAGCCAGCAGGATTAAATTTTTTTTTAAAAAAATCTGGATTTGGTAGGGAATATGGGTACTTGACTACCATTCTGTGAAATTCATCCCTGCTGATCCATTATATTACACAAGATTAATTTCAGAAGTTTGAAACTGCAAACCTCCATTCCTGCCTTTCCTTACCTGAGCAGCGTCAGACTTTCAGCTGCTGCTATTGGAGTGTCATTCTAAGCAAACACACCAAAAAGTGAAATGCTGTGTTGGACAAAAAAAATTTTTTAAAAAATTTAAGAACTGCGATTAAACTAATTAGACTAATCCTTCAATGGTAACTACTGCAAAGGTGGCTATTTAAATTTAGTTGAGGGTTGGGTTGGGTTTTTTTACGCACCTGTTTGTAATAAATTTGCACACTGGTTTTGGCTTTCTTCTAGAGTTCTTGACAGACGATTGATTATTTCGTTTTTTTCTAATTTACTTTCTTCAAGAGTTCTTTCAAGCTGCTTCACGTGCTCCTTTAGGTGGCAACACATTTCTATCTGATAAAAGATAAGAGCACCGCTTAGAAGCATTTGTATATTTCACTTACGTATTCATCCAATAAACGTTACTATTCGTTTTTACTTCCATAATGTTTATATAGGACTTCTAGCAAAAAAAATGTGTTCCACTGGTGTCTATTTTTCTGTAGCAACTAGAACTCTACTTATAAAAGCTACCTAGCCCTCTTGAAAATCTTCAGGGCTCGTCACAAAATAGGGTAGATCTAGAAATAAAAGTATTAATGTATTGTCTGTATTACAAAATATGTTTAAATTAGTACTATAACAGGGAGCCAAAGATTTTTAGAGGACTTTTTCAGTCTTTAAAATAGAGAGGCAAAGACATTCACTCTGACATTTGCTCTTTTTTTTTTTTAACTCTTGCTCATTCCGAGATGAAGCATTATGCAGGTAATCCTCAACGTATGACCTCAATTGAGCCCAAATTTTCTGTTGCTAAGTGAGATGTTAAGTGAGTTTTGCCATTTTGCAGCCTTTCTTCAGAGAATCACCGCAGTTAAGTTAGCAGTGACTTCCCATTGACTTTTGCTTGTCAGAGGGTCGCAAAAAAGGATCACAGGACCCCGGGACATTGCGACCGTCATAAATAGGAGTCAGTTGCCAAGCGTCTGAATTCTGATCAGGTGTCCATGGGGATGCTGCAACGGTCGTAAGGCTGAAAAACGGCCATAAGTCCCTTTTTCCAGTGCCGTTGCAACTTTGGATCATCACTAAATGAACGGCTGTATGTTGAGGACTGCCTGCATTAGCAAATGAAGGTTTGGGGCTATGAAGCTTATTGAGCAGAGAAAACTTTGTCAGGTATTTTGCAAGAGTGTTTTCGTCTTGTGAGGAAGAATCTCACCTGCTCCTGGAGCGATGCATTCTTCACCTCCAGTTTCTGCTGCAAAGATGAAGCTTGCTCTTCCAGTTTCTGCCGGAGTGCGGCAACGATAGCCTCGTGCTGCTCCCTTGCACGCTGGAGAGCGTCAGAACGGCGCAGTTCCAAGAGCTGCTGTTGCATGCTCTCCATGGCGACTTCTGCAACTTTGGATTGTTTGATCAGCTGCAAACAAAATAAAGCCATAGCAATCGCACTTAGATTTATATACCGCTTCACAGGGCTTTGCAGCCCTCTCTAAGCAGTTTACGGAGTCAGCATATTGTCCCCAACAATCTGGGTCCTCATTTTTACCGATCTCGGAAGGATGGGAGGCTGAGTCAACTTTGAGCCCCATCAGGACTGAACTGCTGGTAGTGGGAATGTTTTTATAGCAATAGCATTTAGATTTATATACCGCTTCAGACTGCTTTACAGCCCTCTCCAAGCAGTTTACAGAGTCGGCATATTTGCCCCCAACAATCTGGGTCCTCATTTTACCGACCTCGGAAGGATGGAAGGCTGAGTCAACCTTGAGTCGGTCAGGATCGAACTCCTGGCAGTGAGTGAGCAGTAAGTTAGCCTCCAATGCTGCATATCCTAAGCTCTGCGCCACCACGGCTCAAAAAGATATGGGATTTAATTCAAAATGGCAACGCAGTTGTCTTTAACATAATACAAGCAAACTCTCAATGGACAATCAATATAAAGATTATATTAGTAGAACTACGCTATATGATAAATATATTAGCGACAAATCCCTTTTCCAGCAGACTGGGAAACAGGACTCAAAGGAAAAACAATGTCTAACAACGTGGCCTCACCCAGCAATTTTTTTTTTAATTCGTGGTAACTTTGAATGGTTGTTAAACAAAGCAGTCAGTAAGCGAGGGCTATCTGTATTGTCTTTACTCCAATTTGGCTGTAGGTCAAGCTCCACTACATTGTTGCAGCATCAAAGTTTGAATATGGTTAAATTCACCTGTCATGCATCTTATGGTTTAAGCATGATTTGCTGCCTGGGCAACATTCTAAGATAAAAATAATGGTTTACCAACCACAACAGCTGGGTTTCTACAACATGCTGAGCCAAAATCAAGCAAACCACAAAATATCTTAGCTCGATACATGTGGCTCTTCCAATTTCCAATAATTTCATCTCCATGTTCAACTTTTCAGAAGACAGAATATACACTCTTTGGTTTTCTTGAGGGATGACGCTCATTATAAGTGCATCTAACATTTTTAAGTTTTTACTGTCTTGTGGACCTCCTCAATGAATTTTTTAGCAGCTTCAAATCCCTTACATGATCATATGCATTACACTTAGTAACTGCGAAACTGTAATATTTACAGTTCCTACCTGTTCCTCATTAGCAGCCAGAGTCTGAATTTGACTTTCAAGAGCTTTTATTTGGCCTTCAAGCTGAACTTCCCTTTCCTTGCTATTTTGGTAGAGTTTTTGACTTTCTTGGAGACTAAGATACATGCCATCCTTTTCATCTTTAAAAAAGAAAAAAAACATTTACATCACTGTGCAGTTACTTTTTAACATATGCAGCATACCCTTTTCAGGAAGAAAAAAAAAACCTAAAATAGAAGAGTGTACATACATGTGTGTGGGAACAAAACACGAATTTGCACCTTTTTCAGAATTCATTATTCATAAATGCATAAATCTCAAATTTACGGCATTTAAGAAAACATTATTATTTATTACCCAAAATAGCTAGGGAATGAAGTTTGAAGAAATGTTCCACATATAACAAACAAGCTAGCATCATTCATCCAAAAGGATATCTGTACTCAAGCAAGCAAGTGCTACAAGATTTAGTCACTCGTTTTAGGAGGCAATTCTCCCAAATCACCAGAGGTTACTGCACTGTAGATCATACAAAATAGCACATTCAATCAGTGGGGTGGACTAGGGTATCCTGTTATGCATTGATTTAAAAAATAATAATAATATGGACTGTGCAACCACATGTCTTAAATTTAGCATAAGCAGGAAGAAGGGCTTACTTATTTCTCACAAGACTTGCTACATTTCAAACATTGTTTCTCATCAATCAACAACAAGAAACCTTAAGTGGGTTTAAAGTTAATAAAAGAAGTTAACAAGTGGGTTTAATTTTAACAAAATGAGTGAAGGAGGCAGGAAGCCTCCTGCATCAGTTCTGGATTAGGGTCTCCTGCTTGAGTAGGGGGACGGACTAGAACAGGGGTGTCAAACTGCTGGCCCGCGGGCCGGATGCGTCATGTGGAAGCCGTGCTCACCCCAACTTTAGCAAGGGGGAAAAAGTCGTGATACGTCGCGACACGTCACGTGACGAGTTTGACACCCCTGGACTAAAAGATGCCTTCCAACTGTTACCCTGTGATTACATCATATGACAGAAGTTGAAACGGCCCAAGTATACTTCTGCAGTCTCGCCTTTAAGACACACTTACCTTTCATAATTGCAAGCTGATGGGACAGGTACCTAATCTGCTGTGCTCTTTCTTCCAGCTGGTTATTAAGTTCCCCTAAAGTTCTTTCTTTTGCTTTATTGAGAACCTGAAGCTGAAGAATCTTCATGTTCTCTGAAGAACCTGCAACGCACACCAGGTTTCCACACGTCAGGCATAACACACACAGGATTTTCTCAACCAAATACACAATTCAATGAAATCCCCCGGGGCAAGAATTTCTTCTTGACAGAAGTACTGTACGTAAGTCTTGCTGGACAAACGTTGCTACTGTAGATACTTCTTTTAAATTACAGTAGTGGCCAAAATTGTAGAAACCTTTTGGGGAAAGAATTTTTGAGGTTTGATGGCTAATAACACTTTTTTTTTTTTGAGTAGTACCATAAAATTATATATCAATGGATAGATAATTTAATCAAGAATGTAATGCAACATAGTTTGTTCAATTATATGTACTGTATTCTATGAAAAGTTATAGCCAAATAACCAGAAATAGGAAGCACAACTTGCTTAGGTTGATATCAGGTAGCTTTCCTTCATCTGATTGTAGCCAATGAGCATGAGCGTTTAGAGAGCCAATTGGGTGTCCTCTTGTTTTGGCAATGAGCCAATCAGATCACAGTGGGATCCAGTTATTGATGCCACGTATTGAAGCTGAGAGGAGGACATTTGTCAGTGTGTTATGTGATCGCTATCAAGTTGGTTGGGTTTTTTTGTGTTCTTTCATTTAGTGAGTTTGTAAAACTTAATAAAATTAAAGTAATGGTGCAAAGAGTTGACTGGTCGCCCAGAAAGCGATGTAAAATAGCATTATTAAGTGAACAAGGCTACAGTTATAAAGAAATTAGAAGAAAAATTGGTCAAAACTTAACTAAAGGTGGCATTTCTACTGTACACTTTTCCCAAAAGGTTTCCACAATTTTGGCCACTATTCATAACTACGCAGAAATATGACAAGGGGATACTTTACTTGATGCTACATATTCTCATGGCTGCTAGATTGGCGTATGTACAAAACTGGAGGAATAAAGAAATTCCAACAGAAGAGATTTTATATAAAATCCTATCGTGTGCTGATATGGATAGGCTCACAATGGAAATGAAGGACAAGACAGAGTCAGATTACTTTGAAATCTGGGACAAATTCTATTGTTGGTGTGAATCAAGGAGAACTGTTCGGGTTTTAAGTTATAGTGCTAAGATAGAGATATATAAAACTGTATGTGAGTATATAGAGAAACAAATTAGAGACTGTATTGTATAGAAAAATATGTATATACAGAGATTAAGAATTATATGTATGACGAGGAACAAATTGTTAGGAATATATACACTGGAATGTTACGTTATGTCCATCTTTGTTTTAACTGTTTTATAAATAAAAAAAAACTTTTAAAAAAAAATTTTGGGCCACTATTGTATGTGCTGCGGTTTACAATTAAGCAGCAGGTGAGAAATGCAGTTATTTATTCCAGGTTGGAGACTCACTCAAAGCATTATATGTTGCTGGCAATTTGTGTGCTTGGAGAAACAGGTCTTTCTCATGAAAAGCTTTTTGCCTGGCTCACAAAAGAAGAGATGAAAACCTTCATATCAATTACCTGATTCAACAACAACAAAAACTAGGTTTCTAGCATCAACACATATAATGAAAAGCATATACTTACTTTCACCAGTAGCTAGAAATTCTTGTTGCATTTCTTCAAATGCTGCTGCCTCTGATGAAATAGGGGCTGCTTTTTGAGCACTCTTCTGGTAGGGTTTATACACAACTTTGTAAGGCTCTAAAGACTGGCCGTTGGTTTCTGAACCACCGTACTGCAATTTTAACAACACAAACAATCTTTAAGTGCTACGTACTTGCCTAGTTTTGATTCTAAAGCGCCGATAGGTTGATCGTGTGCCATTTATCTCTTTTATTATGAAATTTATTTGCCACCCATCAGGATGCGTTCTTCCTCAAACAAGCACTAAATTTGTACTCAAAAGTCGTGCGTGGACAATGCATAAGCTGGAAGTCCATTTTAGTTTCATTCTAGAATGTAACCAATTGCTACAGTAGGAAAACTGGGACACAGCAAAATAATGAAGTATCACCCGCAGACGTACCTTCAAGGGTTCCTGCGGGGGATCAACAAAGTTTGTCACGAGGCCATGCTGGTTACTGAAGTCTTGCTGGTGGCCATTTGTGAAGGCTCGAAAATTGGGCGGCAGATCATAGACCCCGTTTTGTGGGTAATGGCTGGCTGCTTTGTAGTCCTCTCCAAAATAGACCCCTTCAGATCCGTTTTCACTGACCCCGCCAGAGATCTCCAACAAGCTTTTATCTTCAGCCTCACGGTGATGGAAAGGCCAGTCACTCGCACGCATTTCACTTGGGATGTTTCCTTGGTCATACACAAAGCGGTCGACAAACACATTCTGGTCCTGCCCATAATCCTGAGAATAAACAATTTTAGTGATTACTAGCAGACACTCTCCCCGTCTCCGTTAGGTAATGTGACTAGTGTTAACATGCTAGTCGTGTGAATAAAAGAAGGGACCCGTTGAGGTTAGGGAACAGGAACTAATAAAATGCTAAATTCACTCATTTATTAAATGATCCTTCCACTGAAGAGGACTCCTAGCATAATTGAGTAGGGGGTTGGACTAGAAGACTTCCAAGGCCCCTTCCAGCTCTGTTATTCTGTCATTGCCAGGATAGCAACCAGCATAAAAGCTCTCCGGTGCCGCATCAAGAAGAACCAAGAGTATTATTATCTAGCATTTCAGAAACTTAACAGATTCCTCCATGCCTTCAGCAGTGACAGAGCTTCTAATCTACTGCCTTTACTGGAAAAAAAAGTGGGGCTACATTCAGAGACGTATCTTCTTTGGGAATAGTCAGTGTTGGGCTATCTAGCATAGGAAATGTTTGATAAAATTGGCCAAATTTCAATTCTGTGAGAGCCCTGGGTCCCGGATTTTGGATGCATTCTGTGAGTTAGCCCATCTGAGATACCTTGGTTCAAAGTTTGTTGCCCTACAGTGCACCATTTCACCCTGTTAAAGGTTACATAGACAAACAGGAGAGAGGAGAGACAGACAGATAGAAAGATATTGATGGGTGATAGAGAGATACAGAGAGATATAGATATGAATAACTGATGAAAGATGACTGATGACTGATAAATGATAGATAGATAGATAGATAGATAGATAGGTAGGTAGGTAGGTAGGTAGATAAGATAGATAGATAGATAGATAGATAGATAGATAGATAGATAGATAGATAGATAGATAGATAGATAGATAGATAGATAGATAGATAGATAGATAGATAGATAGATAGATGCACCATATTCAGCTTCTAACAAATCAGACAGAACAATGTTTTAACGTTCATTTTGGATGAGTTGGGAAATCTTGCAACTCAAATTAAACTCACACTTGGTGGGTTTGTTGCAACTGGGCGATCGTTCCATTGGGCGGCATCCTGGTCCCAGGGTTCATGCACTCTGTGCAGAAAAGAAAGGGAGGTTTAGAACCCATTCATTTGTATAGTCTCATTGTGATGTGGCATACACAGGGCAACTACATTTCTCCTGCTAGCGCTCAGAAGATAATGTGCGCACCACTTGAATGCACTTCTGTCATTTCAACAATTTTCAGAGCAAGGAGAGGGAAGTGAGGAGATTCTCTTACTGCTCATGTTCTTCGGGTGCACTGTAGTCAGAAAGCTGATCTCCGCTGTCTTCTAGCATGTCATGAGGAAGGTCCGTCAGTAGCTGTTGTAGCTGAAAGGAAAACATAAATATGGGAATAAGAGACAAATATTTAGTACTCAAACATACCTCGTCTACTCTCTAGACTTTAATACCAGAGGAATTTGCATTAAAAAACTTAACAATGTAGCTACAAAGTCAGTCTAATGGTTGCTATTTGTCTGTTCGGCTACAAATGTTTCTTAGAGAACACAAATAATTCAAGCCAGGAAGGAAACTAGGGAATTTAAAAACAGTCATTCTACAAATACATTTATGAGAGCTGGCTACTTGCACAACTAGCACACAGGCGGCTTTGAGAACTGTGTTTTAATCAATAATTCAAAATAGTGGATCCATTTTCAGCTTGCTATTTCTTCCCAGGAGATCCAGCTTCGAGAACTTTATTTCGATCAACTTGCTCAATACGACATACTGCTACCAGGGATATTTTAAAGAACCCCGGTGGCACAGTGGTTAGAATGCAGTATTGCAGGCTAACTCTGCCCACAGCCTGGAGTTCAATCCTGATTGAACTCAAGATGGACTCAGACTTCCATCCTTTTGAGGTTGGTACAATGAGGACCCAGATTGTTGGGAGCAACAGGCCGACTCTGTAAACCGCTTAGAGAGGGCTGTAAAGCACTCTGAAGCAGTATATATAAGTCTAAGTGATATTGCCCTTCCTTCCTTCCTTAACTCTGCCAACTGCCAGCAGTTTGATCCTGACTGGCTCAAGGTTGACTCAGCCTTCCATCCTTCTGAGGTCGGTACAATGCGGACCCAGATTGTTGGGAGCAACAGGCCGACTCTGTATGTAAACCGTTTAGAGAGGGCTGTAAAACACTGTGAAGCGGTATATAAGTCTAAGTGCTATTGCTAGGAGCCAGGATACGCAATTAACGTACCTCTGATTAACTATTTCATTCTCAGAAACAATCAGGAACACTTGGGTAAGCCAATCTTAATTCTTTCGTATGAGCTTTGCCTTCCCCAGTAGTGCTGATCCCGCTTCTCAATCACATAGCAGCTCTCTGTCTCACACCAAAACACTGCTTAGCCCAGGCATTGTGAGACAACTGCAATTAATGCAGTTCAGTGTATTTTTTAAGCATTGGCCTTTGAGTGCCAATAAGCTTCAAGCAAGCTGTTCAGTTTGTGAACAATATCAAGGCATGTATTAAAATCGGGGTATCGTTGGGAGAGACGGTCTCTCAAATTTGAAGTAGATGCTAATAATCAACTTGCACTTTTTAAGCAGAAGCTAGTGTGGAAATAGTACCAAATCTGCACAGGACTAGTCTTTGAGGAAGAAAGGTAACAGATACAGTCATGTACAAGTAGTCCTTGACTTACAACAGTTCATTTAGGGACCGTTCAAAGATACAATGGCACTGGAAAAGTGACTTACGACAGTTTTTTCACATGACCGTTGCAGCATCCCCCTATGGTCCTGTGATCAAAATTCAGACGCTAGGCAACTGACTCATATTTATGACGGTTGCAGTGTCCTGGGGTCATGTGATCTCACTTTATGACCTTCTGATGAGCCAAATCAATGGGGAAGCCAGATTCACTTAACAACTGTGTTACTAACTTAAAAACAGCAGCGATTCCCTGAAGAACTGTGGCAAGAAAAGTCACAAAATGGGACAAAACTCACTTAACTGCCTTGCTGAATTGGGGCTGAATTGTGGTCGTAAGTTGAGGACTGCCTGTATTATGCTTTATCTCAGAATGAGCAGGAGTAAATATCTTTCGGTACTATCTTTCCACCCGTTCCCTCCATTTCAGCTATTCACTCTTCAGTTTACTTCGAGCAAATTAAATACATTTTCAAAAAAAAACTTCTGTACTTACTTGGTGCAAAGACTCCTGAATAGAATATACCTGTTCTTCTAAACCTTCTGTGAGATTTTGGTACATAGAATGGGTTTCAACTAATACATCTGTGCAGTACATTCTCTTTTTCTCACAACATTACTAGAAAACTGTATGTAATAATATAAGCTGTTATCACATTGTCATTTCTTTCCAATGGAGCCTTTAAACAGGTTTATTAACTGGGGGGAAAAGCAGCAGCCTAGAAATAAGATGAGGACGAACTAGAGAAATAAACTTTATCTGGATCTGAAAAGTTCCTCTATTATCAAAATGTGGATAACTCCTGGCACCAAAATTAGCAGGAAAATCACTGACCTTTCTAATTACTTTCAAATAAATCTTATTACACACTAACACAATTAGCTTCAGCACCATGAGGGAAACATCTAAAATAAAGTCCTGCCTATCTTTATTAGCCTTTACTTTTATTTATACGCTAATTATAATGAAGTAAGAAGAAAAAATCAACTTTATGCCAACTGCATCGGCTAAGATACCACTCCATAATTCTCTGGGACCAAATCTATTCAAACAGCTTTGCTAAAATAAAACGTATCTACAGGGTTTTCTGTGATATATTAATCTTTCTAATGTCTTGTACCAAAAATATAAAATGTTTAGAGGAATCCCTAGGATGCAGCAAAATGCTTAACAATAGACATTTCCCCACCAGCTCTAGCTTTCACAGAATAAAATTAAAACTTGTAAAACACACATACTGAACTACTGCATAAAACAACCATACAGTGTTTCCTTACTACCCACATTACTAAATACTCCAGACAAGAGGCATAATTCAGAGTTTGTTGCAACAGCAGATAACCTGGAGGTGTACAGCTTTAGTCAGAAGAAATGAGCAAGGGATTTTATTCAGACGAAGCTTTTTTAAAGGAGCAGTTCCAATAAGGCTGACATCATGAGAAACCAGAGTAAATTCAAGCAGATTATGACATCATTTCCAAGACAACAATAGCTTTAATGAAAAATAGGGGAGAAGCAAGCTAAAACCATTAAAGTTTTGCCAACAGGTAATTTTTACCTCTTGCTCTCTAGCATAATCCTCTTGATCATATTCGTCCTCTTCATGTTGCATCTGTAAAGCTGCACTGTCAAAATCCAGCGACATCGTTCACAAGTTGTTTCTTGGGCCACCTGGGAAAAACAGCTATTTTAAAATTCCGTGTGCAATTAATTAACCCTGTAAGTAAGGCTTTGGTAAAAGAATGCCAAATCCAATGTACATTTCAGTCCACAATTATTTTGTAACTCTTATTTTGTTTCCTACAATTTTTAATCACCGAGTTCTTGTGTCATCTTGATTTTCAGGGAACTTTGTGCAGGCAGATATACAGTAGGTGTTTTTGAACAAGTCACATTTGCTCAAAAACAGGAGCTATATCAAAGATTGTCCCCTCCCAATTCATAGATCCCTTATTTATATATCAATAACCAGTTTTAGTGGATTAAAAGTGGACTGGGAAATAACATGCAAATAGTTTCTTGTATCAAGGTGCAGAAGGTTAACTGAATCCTTCTGGTTTACTTAGGATGCACAGAGGAGGCTAAAAACTAGAATCTTGTAAAATTAAATCAAGAAAGCTGCCAAACAAACTCAGTTCCGTGGATCTCTTTCAGATGCAGCTTGAGAACAGTAACAGTAGCCTATTTTAACTCATAACAGTGGCTATTTCTTATTATGCGGATTTTGGCTTTTTCTTCTATGTTTGACACCTATCTAGAATCCTTTGGGATTGGGGTGGATTAGAAATACGGTAAAATTAATTATTATCTACTGGCTTTAATTAAATTACTATATAAATAATTGATAAAAATTTTCATCTGTCAATTACAAAAGATCGCAGCTTGGATCTGCACATATACCACGCAGATACATTATGACATCCTAGGTTCTTGAGAAGAACATCGTGCCAATGAAGGCCAACACCAGACAAAGAACTGGCAGCTGTGATTTCACAATGCGGTCCATATAATAATATATCTGGCTGACTGTGCAATTAACCTTAATAAACCACAATGGTAGTAATAGAAGAGAAAGAATTGGAGGGGGGGGAAATCACAAAATAGAGAGACCTGCAAATAGAAATGGAACACCTATGGCCAAAGAGAGCCAAGGCAGCAAAATAGGCATAGGCACCTTGGGTACAATCCCAAAACATCTGGAGCACCACTGGCATTGGCAAAAATCGCCATCCCTCCACTGCCAAAGGCAAATTATATTCAGAATAGCTTATATTCTGAGTGGAAACGTTTAACACCATTAAAACATCCACGTCTGCCTATCCCAGGTCCTTGGAAAGGGCTTAGTAGGTGGATGTATGTTGTATATAGTATGTGTTAAATGTGTTATGTGTACACTTTGAGAGAAAGCAACTAAATTTCATTTTTAAAGTGTGCCATTGTGCCCAGAGGAAAAAAAATGACAATAAAGGCTATCTATCTATCTATCTATCTATCTATCTATCTATCTATCTATCTATCTATCTATCTATCTATCTATCTCTACCCCCTTTATATCTATCTATCTCTACCCTCTTTATATCTATCTATCTATACCCCCTATTTATATCTATCTCTACCCATCTATCTATCTCTACCCCCTATCTATCTATCTATCTATCTATCTATCTATCTATCTATCTATCTATCTATCTATCTATCTATCTATCTATCTATCTATCTCTACCCCCTTTATATCTATCTATCTATCTCTACCCCCTTTATATCTATCTCTACCCTCTTTATATCTATCTATCTATACCCCCTATTTATATCTATACCTATCTATCTATCTATCTATCTATCTATCTCTACCCCCTTTATATCTATCTATCTATCTCTACCCCCTTTATATCTATCTCTACCCTCTTTATATCTATCTATCTATACCCCCTATTTATATCTATACCTATCTATCTATCTATCTATCTATCTATCTATCTATCTATCTATCTATCTATCTATCTATTTTAAAAAATGCCAAATCCACTCTGAAAATCTGGCCCTGATACGGCCTAGGCATAATATCCAATCCTCCCAGATGAATAACTGCCCCTTTTTCCTATTGACATCTCCTACATTCCACCCCCTCTTGCACCGGAAAGCGCATGCGTTGTTCTCACGACAGTCAAGGTTCTAGTCCGCAGTGAGCAAAAAAAATAACATTATTAAAGAAAAACTGTCCGTGGTGGAATTTTTTTTTTTACGTTTCTCCGAAGATTGGTAGTCAGGGAAAAACCACGAAGCGCCGCGTGAGAAGGAAAAGCGCTCCGAAGGGGAGGCCGAGGCCTCGTTTCCATAGCGACGACCAGTAACCGTCACCCTCTTCCTCCGGGGCCCTTCCGCAGCCCAGCCGTCCACGTTCCCCGGAGCCCGGGCCTCACTCACCACCCACCCCGCCTTGAACACGAGCAGCCCGGCCGACTCACCTTCTCGCCGGCGCTTCGCATCCCCGTCCGAGGACCCTGTTTTTTTTCCTCTCCTTCCGTGTGACAACCGAACCCTGTATTCGTTCGGGGAGGGGTCTGTGCTTGTGGACAACGCATCCACCCAATGAGACGGCATAGCATCCAATAGGGCCACGATTGGAGCGCAGGGGAAGGCGGGGCTTTCGCTTCTCTCTCTCCCCCCCCCTTAAACAAGTTCGGTTGCCCCGCGCCGCTCTATTGCTTTTGAAAGCTGGCGCGGGCGGTGGCGGGAAGAGAAAGCTGATCGGCGATTGGCTGGCAGGTTTAGCCAATCGGGAGAGTGAGGGGCGGGCAAATTACTTTAAAAGTCCTTTAAATTGAACGCTTTTATTTAACCAGGGTGGGCAGATGAGTGCTTCAACTTGAGATTCATAAAGCAAAGCGAGCAACACACTAAAGGCATAGATCGGGATTTGGTGTTTTTTTTAAATTAAGCAACTTTAAGAGGAGTGGACTTCAACTCCCAGGATTCCCCAGCCAGAATTCTGGGAGTTGAAGTCCACCCCTCTTAAAGCTGCCAAGTTTGAAAAATATTGGCATAGGTTTAAAAACCATGCATGCCGAGCACATGTATCTTGAGCTCCAAAAGTGGGAAAAAAGGTTGTTTTCAATACATTAAAAAATCCACTTGAATTACAGTATCTCATACTTTTATTAACAATAACTAAATGTAAAGGTAACTTCTTGTTATCCTTGAGCAGCCAAAATCAAACATCTTCACTAAGGTGGCCATAAATTATTCACAGATTTATCCATAAATATCTTGCCCACCCATTTTAACATGTTAACGCAGGGGTCCCCAATCCCTGGTCCATGGACCGGTACCGGGCTGTGGCATGCCAGCAACCGGTCCACATAAACAAGCAAAGCCACATCCGGGGGATGCAGGCAGCACACAAAACCTCTCTCCAGGGAACCGGTCCCTCGTGCCCAAAAGTTTGGGGACCTCTGTGTTAATGGATTCCCTGAATGGAATATATTTCACCAGTGGACAAATCTTTTAATGCTGCCAAGGAAAAGTTAGCTATTTTTTATGGCGGTCATGAACTATCATAGAAAATAAAAATACATGTAATATAATCAAAACGTTAATGTCTGTCTGGACTGCCTTTCAAGGCTATTTGAGATGCTATTGTGACAATTTGATGATATGCCAAATTCTCCCCTCTCCTCTTGAGGGTTCCAATGGAGCAATGAAACATAACCAGAAAAATATTGCTTCTGGTTAAGTGGACTTTGAAAGCAGCATAATAAATACATATATCCGCCAAGGATGTTCCATCTGCTGAGCTAAATAACATTGTAACTATAAAACCCTCCACAGAGTTTTGGGCTAAATACTGCCTTTTAACTGCAACAGCCTTGTTGGATCCAAACAAAACTGGATGACAAAAATGACAATCTGAAGAAAAATGTTTGACACCCATATAAGATCCTTTCCAGAGATTGTTGTTGTTGTTAGTTACGAAGTCGTGTCCGATCCATCATGACCCCATGGACAATGTTCCTCCAGGCCTTCCTGCCCTCTACCATCTTCTGGAATCCATTTAAACTCACACCTACTGCTTCAGTAACTCCGTCCAGCCACCTCCTTCTCTGTCGTCCCCTTCTTCTCTTGCCCTCCATCTTTCCCAGCATCAGGCTCTTCTCCAGTGAGTCCTTCCTTCTCATTAGGTGGCCAAAGTACTTGAGTTTCAACTTCAGGATCTGGCCTTCTAAAGAGCAGTCAGGGTTGATCTCCTCTAGGACTGACCGATTGGATCGCCTTGCAGTCCAGGGGACTCGCAGGAGTCTTCTCCAGCACCATAGTTCAAAGGCCTCAATTCTTTGTCGCTCAGCCTTTCTTATGGTCCAACTTTCACAGCCATACATTGCAACTGGGAAAACTATGGCCTTGACTATACGTTTCCAGAGATAGAGAAAGCAAATCACCCTCAGCAAGCCGCTATGTTAATTTTTTTCTTTTACTAACTGGTTAAAAGAAAAGATTAAGGCAAAATTTATTGTTTATAAAACATAATAGCTGGCTGCACTTACACTTTAAGCCAAATGCAACCTAAGTGATGGCTTAGTACAAAAGTATCCATTTGCTTGATCCTTCCTCTTTTCATCTACACCCATATTACATCTCCCTGACCACTGATATTACTAATCACTCAACATGTTACACATTGATCGTTTTTCATTTGCCAAGCTGTGCCTTGAAAGTGGGACAGAAACCATACACCTGAAAACAGGTCCACAGACAAAATTTATTTGCAAACGTTACGATCGTAAAGAGGAAACTGATGTTGTATGTATAACATTCAAATTTCCTGGGATGAGAATTAAAGGAGAGAATTACAAGTCTATTGCTTGGCCAACTTTTATAAATATGAATTTGATGGCACTGTGCTAATGTGTGTGTGTGTGTGTGTGTGTATACATATATATATATAAATTTGAAGATACCCTGAGAAAACTCTATTTCATGTCTATCTGTATCACGTGCGATGCAATATTAAAGATGTGCATTTAAAAGTAAAATCCATTCCTGATACAGCTTAATAAACCACAATGGACCAGTACTTAACTGCTTGCTTTTAAGCAGATAAAAAAGCTAAGAAAGGACATCTTTACATGATGTTTGAATTTAGGATTATTTTTGAGTCCGTGGTAATGCTTGTGGTTGGCTTAAAATCTAGATGTTGGCCATAATTTTAACATCACACCTCTTTTCTTACACACTGCCAGGAATGAATCAGCTCTATGCAGGAACTCATTGCTTGTTAGCATCCTGATTTATGAAGCCAGGATTCCTGGCTTAAACTGGCATGCAAGAATGGCCCTTGAGATTAGTAAAACTCAGCCAAGGTGAGGGTGCTCAAGTGTTCACTTCAGAAATTCAAGCGCTTGTCCAGGTTAACTGCTGTTGGTATGGGGTTGGATTAGAAGACTTTACAATCTCTTCCAACTTTATTGATTCTATTTTGTGATTTTTGAATCTGCCCTCAAGAGCAAAAGCTTAGCATTGTTTTAAACAATGCTGGATTCGTTGATAACATTCACGTTTCTTTTCAAAGCTGCAAGGAATAGATTTGCAGAAATCTCTTTCTCTCCACGATATATAAATAACAGAATCACTCCAGGTATATTGATTTACAGAATATTTCCAGTTGAAAACACATACAGGGCTAATGCGGCACAAATGTTTATTTAAAAAATTCTTTTCTTAACTAATAGGAATAAATGAAACCCGATCCCCAAAAATACGGAATGAAGGAAAATAGAAAGCGTGCAATAAAAAAATGAAATAGCTTCTGAACAAAACAATGTATTTGCTCACCCAGAAATAATAATGTATGATTGCTTTTTTTTATCTCACACTCCCCAAACTATATGCAACTATCATTTTTATTTTTGCTGGTCCAGTTCCAGTGTCTTTACCTACAGGCCAGTAGGCAAACATTTTGCAGATTTAAGTTTTTGGTAACCCTTTGGCATCCTGGTAGAACTGCATTATACAATAGACTTATTTAAGAAAGCTATATCTACCACATTGTTAGCGTCCGTTTCAAAATGATAACTAATTTCCATATATAAACTTAGTAAGCATTGCAGCCTCATTTAAAAACCAGAAACCTTATAACTAGGCCAATGAGCAGTTAGCATCACTATTCCATCAGGTAGATTAGTGGAGATTTTTAATAATAAAATGTGCTTATTGCTGACTGGAAATCCCTTAGGGTTTTTTTTTTTTGCATGAAACAGAAAAAAATGAATTTATGATTTATGGTTTTGATGATTAGATAGAATAAATTATAGGGAAAAAAGAATTATATTGTAACCATAGAGCAAGAGGTAAATTTATAATTGTACTTATTAAGTGCTGCAAAGCTACTTCTTTGTGTAACTTTTTTCTTTCTTTTTCTATTCGTTTACTTTTTTTCTTTCACGCACTTTTAGCTCGCTCTTTCTCTTCTTTTCTTTTTCTGACTCTAGATTCATTTCTATGAGTCTTTCTCTTCTATTCTTAAAATATTTTAATAGAAGTATATTTTACAAAATGAATTGAGCTTGATGCCTGTTGACGTCATGGATACACAAATGTCATTTCCTTGGCAGCAAGAGAGATGTGGTTTCATGGTCCTTCTTCAGAACGTTTTCTGAGATCCCAGTCCTGAGATTTCCTTGTGGTCTCCCATCCGAATACAAATCAGGTTCAATCTTTCTCAAGCTCCTCGAAATCAGCCCAGGAACGACTCAAATAAATTTATCAGCTTAAAAAAAAACCACAGCTCAGTAAAAATATGAGTCATTTCCCCCAAACCTCCTACATTAAAAGGCACATCTTCAAGTAGGTTTTGCTCTGGGAAGTTTGGCTTGTGCTTTGACACCTTTTTATGATCTCTCAAAAATGTTTTGTGAGTACCTCTGGCCCCTGATTTCTCCCCAGCCTCTTGGTCTCTCCAGGGATATGTTTCGCTAAACTAAAATACTTGTCACTGGTCAGATGCAACATAGAGATGTGATTAGGTCAATGTTTCTCAGTCTGAGCCACTTCAAGACATTTGGACTTCAACTCCCAGCATTCCCCAGTCAGTCATGTTGACTCAGGAATTCTGGGAATTGAAAACCACACGAAGTAGTTGCTGAAGTTGAGAAATACTGACTTAGGCAAATGCATTGGACGTAGACATACAAACACACACACACACACAAAGAGAAGAATTCATTTGTAACCTCATCTAGAGGTGTCTCCTATTCTTTGTCGAATTGTGTGCGCAGGAAATGAGTCCAGAATAGTCACTAGGGATATTGAGGAGACTGTGACAAAAGAATTATCTTGAAAAGAACGTGAGTCAACAAAATTAGTCCTTAGAATGCAGTTGCCCTAATTCTTTTCTTACAGGCTGGCTGAGCCTTAATTCACGTCCAGAAGAGATGATTGGCAATTTGTTTTCCATATGGTAGCGGATAAGATGATCCACGCTATCGAATATATGATCTTTGGTTCTGACCTGGAAAAAACAAAGAGCATCCAAGAGTACAGTAAGTAAGAAGTCCTCAAATTCTGCAGTATTGTCAGCCTTTAAAGCAGTGGTTCTCAACCTTTTTAATGCCGCAACCCCAACCGGTCGTACGTCGAGGACTAAACCGGTCATAAGTCGAGGACTAAACCGGTTGTAAGTCGAGGACTACCCAACCGGTCGTAAGTTGAGGACTTTCCCTGCCCAGGAGCGCCGCACATGCGTGGTTCTGCCCCCTGCGCTGGCCGAGGCGTAGCTGGCAAACGGCAGAGACGGAGCAGGCCGACCACCAGCTGGCCCAGCCCAAGGGAGGTAAGGCACCCACCGGAAAAGGGGAAAAAAATGGCGGACAAAAAAAAATGGCGGACAGCCTTGCTTGGCGACCCCCATGAAATGGTCGATCGACCCCAAATGGGGTCCCGACCCACAGGTTGAGAACCACTGCTTTAAAGGATAGCATGAATTTGTGCAGCCCACCTGGAAGATGTTAAGGATTTCATTGGTGTTAAGGTAGGGAAGAAATCAATATGCCACTTACTTGTATGTATTTGATATATTTATGTAACAAATAAAACTTGAATAGGACCACTTTGTAAAGTCATTATCGAGTGTTTTTTTTTTTTTTTACTGATGAATGGGTCTTGTGGTTTGAAAATAATGGCCTACAAATATAACTAAAGAATCTAATCACACATCATATTTATTTGAAACACACTGTAAAAAGAGACTAGGTTTATTTTTATTTTTTTTTGTGCATTTGCAACTTTCCTGGAGCGTAGCAACTTTATGGATTTTCTACGAATGTCCACTGGAACGTGGCCCCAAGTCCATGTTTTGATATTAAAAGTATACTATGTTATGGTTGACTAGCAATTCAAGACAGGAGCATCCACAAGGGGAGAATGGGCCAAAACAAAAAAAAAAATTTAGGATTGGTTCATAATCTACCACATGTACCATCTTAATTTTTGTATCCCCTTCATGGATACTCCTGGTTTGAGGGATCTTAGTATCTTTGAACAGCTGGCAGAATGTCTTACTTTATGACCATAGCTTTGAGGGGTCCTTGGTGCTCTCTGAGCTTGGTTGTTTTCTTGCAGATGTTTCATTACTCAAACTATGAAACATCATCAGCGCTAGTGATGAGTGTTAGTGATTAGCACTGAGGCTTCTCCTTCTCTACTCCACAAACCCCATTTTCTTCTAGCACTGATGATGCTACTTAGTTTGGGTCATGAAACATCTGCAAGAAAACAGCCAAGCTCAGAGAGCACCAAGGATCCCTCATTTCAGCTCTGGGCTACAGATATCTGGGCTACAAATATCTGGGCTACAGATATTTATTGGGACCATTGTCTTAATTGTTCCTACCTTGCCTTCAGGATCCACCAACAAGAGGTGTTTTACTTGTCCTCCTTGCAGTCCACTCAGGACATATTGGCCAGGTGAGGTTGTACTCTCCCGTACCAGGAAGTCTCCGTTGTTTCTTAAGAGATTCTCTGCTTGTCTCCTGGATATCTTCCCGTGATAACATTCTTCATTCCAAAGAGGTGTCTTTGCATCTGTGATGCCTCCGAGGCCTGCCACGTCACTGGATCCTTTCTGCTCTACAGTGTCCAGTGCTTCTGAAAATGAAATAGAAGTTAAAGAGACCAGCTGTCTGCAGTGTATGAGTTCACCCATCCTAAGTGAGTGGGGTTTATGTCTTGAATAAGCCACAGCTGTCAGGATGTACACAACAGATTGTGCCCACAGACCTAAAAAGAGCATTGTAATCCTTTAGCCCAGGGGTCTCCAAACTTGGCAACTTTAAGACTTTAAGCTCTTAAATATGTTTTGGTTATGTTAAGAATTAAAGTGTCTTTACTATATGAAACTACTAAATGAGACACAAAGGCAGAAAAAACATACATGTTTTTACATAAACATACTATTATATATACCTCTCTAGTGTACAAGACCCTGTTTACAATTCTTCATGTTATAAATAGTATGTAGTTCTAGTATTGCTGTAAAGAATTTGCTAAATTGTATCTGTGAACTGTATTACACTCAGGGTAGGGGATATCAAAGCATGAAGCACTTTTAATTGTTTTTATATAACAAATTTGAAACAATCTCAGTTCAGTGTATTCCTTTGAATTACTGAAACCACATTAATTTGCAGGCCTGACCATTTGCCTTAAAACAAGGTTTGTACTAAAATGTTCCTCAAATGTTTTTAAGTCTAATAATAAATATTTTCTTGACAAAAAAAAAAAGACTTGTGGACTTCAACTCCCAGAATTCCTCAGCCACTCATCAGTCAGTCGCTAGCCTGATGATGTTACCTAGTTTGGGTTATGAAACGTTTTGAAGAAAACCACCGAGCTCAGAGAGCACCAAAGACCCCTCATTTCAACCCTGAGCTACAAATATTCTCCTTTATTGGTATAGGTCCTGCCTCAGCTGTAGTTTTTATTCATTTTAAAGATGGCATGACAGCAGTCTTCCAATAACCTGATGGGCTGTCAGGCAGGAGTGGATTTATGGATGTGGATTTATGAATAGAATGAGAACCAATGGATGTTAGTTTTATAGAAGGAAACACTAAGCTATTGTTATTCTGTAATAGAACAGTTTGGCTCCTCAAGTCTTGGGTGCTCCATCACTGGAGCTTTCAAAGGTTGGAGAGCATCTGAGATACCTGCCCTGAGCAGTGGATTAAATTAGAAGACTCTAAATCTCTTCCAATTTTATGATTCTATTCCATGATTTTAGGTCTGCCCCTTAGGGGCGAAAGCTTAGCATTGCTACAAACAATGCTGAATTTGTCTATAACACTCATGTTTCTTTTCCAAGCTGCAAGCGACAGATTTGCAGAAATAGAAGCAGTCTTGAATAAGGAACTGGATTTGTGGAGCTCTGTTCTGGAGGGAGGATTCTGGTCATACCTGATGTAGCTTGTAAGTTTTGAGTATTGATATATCGAGGGTCATCAAAAAGATCCACTTTACTGCTACTTTTCAGCAATGGAGCATCTTGATTTGCTGCCTGAGTTGGTTTGCTGATACCTGCAATTAATCATTACAACAAGATCCTTCTTTAGCTTTTCAAAAAAAAACCCCAAAAGCTTATTCAACAGCACAAAATACCATTAAATGAACCAAATTAATGCAAGTTATTCCACCGAGAAAAGATAAGCATGTCTGAGTTCCTAGTATTTTAGTACCTACAAAAGCACTATGTCTAACATGCTGTCTGCCTTAAAGAAACACCCCTGTCAAGGAAAATATCTAAACCACCCCATTCTGACTTAAACACAATTACTATAATATTATCGATCAATCAGAATAAAGCTGGAAGGGGCTTCGGAGGTCTTCTAGTCCAGTCTTTTCTTAAAAACCTCCAGAGATGAAGCACCTACGACTTCTGAAGGCAAGCCATTCCACGGGTTAAATTGTTCTCACTGTTAGGAAGTTTCTCCTTAATTCCAGATTGCTTCTCTACATAATAATAATAATAATAATAATAATAATAATAATAATATATTATTATTATTATTATTATTATTATTATTATTATTATTATTATTATTATTATTATTAAAAGTTGGAAGGGACCTTGGAGGTCATCGAGTCCAACCCCCTGCCCAGGCAGGAAACCCTACACCATTTCAGACAAACGGCTGTCCAGTCTCTTCTTAAAAACTTCCAGTGTTGGAGCATTCACCACTTCTGGAGGCAGGTTGTTCCACTGGTTAATTGTTCTCACTGTCAGGAAGTTTCTCCTTAGTTCTAAGTTGCTTCTCTCCTTGATCAGTTTCCACCCGTTGCTTCTCGTCCTGCCTTCAGGTGCTTTGGAGAATAGCTTGACTCCCTCTTCTTTGTGGCAGCCCCTCAAATACTGGAAGACTGCTATGTCCCCACCAGTCCTTCTTTTCTCTAGACTGGCCGTACTCAGGTCTTGCAACCGTTCTTCATATGTTTTTGTCTCCAGGCCCTTAATCGTCTTAGTTGTTCTTCCTTGCACGTTTTCCAAAGTCTCAACCTCTTTTTTTTTATAATGTGGTGGATTCTAATCAGTGTGATCAGAATTCATTAGAAAAGTGTGGACTTCATTAGCATGGATAAGAACACGGGCAGAAGAATGTGTAAACAGGGCTAATGAAATAATGATTGGGGGGGGGGTCGAGGACAGCATCTTTCTTCCTCTTTTTCGCCTTCTTCTTTACAGATACTTGCAAATGGTTTGCTTTCTACTGAATCCTAGTAGCACCAACCTGAGAAAGTCTCAGGTGACCCCCCCAAAAGAAGCCTTGACTACCCCCAACGGGTCCTCATGCTGTTTCCACCTTTGATGGCTCCTGGGAGACTCTTTTTGGTGGCTTATGGAACCGGATCAAAATGACAATACCTATTCTAGAATGTGAAGATGTATAAAACCCGCCCAAGAGATGTCCGTTGAACAGAATAGCCAGTGGTGGGATTCAAACAGGTGAACTACCGGTTCTCTGCGTGGATGCCGCTTCTGAAAGTCCATTCTGGGCCTTTCTTCTTCTCTTCTTCTTCTTGTGCCATATCCGTTATCGGACGTTGGCGATCCTGTTGGCGATCCTGTTTTTATCAGCAGCCGCACGAAAAAGTGCTGCTGAGTTTTGTCCGAACCAGTCCCTTAGATTTTGAAGCCACGATGTTCTTCTTCTGCCTGGACCTCATTTGCCTTCAATCTTTCCCTGGAGGATTAAATGGAGTATGCCGTATTTTTCTGGTTGTCGCATCACATGTCCGAAATATTCTAATTTTCGTTTTTTAATTGTTTTGATGATTTCCCTTGGCTTTCCCTGGCGGCTTATCCCCTCCTCATTTCTGATCTTGTCAACCCAGCTTATACGTAACAGCCGCCTGAGCAACAAAAAATTAGCTACCGGTTCTGCCGAAGTGGTGCGATCCAGCGGAATCCCACCACTGAGAAGAGCATCTAGTCTTCATCTTTGCTGCTTCTCTTTGCCTGTAATTCAACACCAGGCGCCGTGAATCAATGGAGGATGGTTCCTTTTAGTTGGTCTCTTCCTGTATTAGCTATGGGGGACGATGGAGGCAGTTTGAGATTCCAAACAGACTGGATTCTATGATTTCCTTCACTGAGACAGGAAGGCAAGAACCAGCTGTCTGTAAGATACAGGCAACTCACCCGCTGCTCCGTGCTCATCTGGGCAGTTTTCATAAAGCTGCTTAGAACTGGGACTATCATCCTAAAAAAAGAAAGAAAGAAATACAGAAACAAATTACTCTGAGGAATTCTCAGCAGATCCAGACTCTGAACAACGGTAGGAGATTAACTCAGAATTCAGGTTGATTCTTTCAGAAGGCTTAAAATCCATTCTAACGTAAAACATAGGTTCAACACACGATGTAATGCTCAATGATGCAGACCACACGCATGCTTACTCCACATTGTTGCTTCTCCGTGTGGATGGGACGGTTCATCCCTTCTTCTGGGATTATCTTCAGCCTGACGTCAGACAGCCCACCTACAGGAGGTTCCTTCCCAGGAATTTCATTATAGTATCCGCAGTCTTCCTTCTCTTGAACATTCCAGGTGGATCCATCAAGACTCACCCCTTCTCTGTGCAAAAACAAGCCAAAGCTGAAATACACAACTTCGGTAGCATCACATTATGTCAGAGGGTGGTTTATTATTTCTGAGGGGTTCTTGGTGGTCTCTGAGCTTGATTGTTTTCTGGCTGACATTTCATGACCCAAACTAGCATCTGATGATGTTACCTAGTTGGGTTATAAAATGTGTGCAAGAAAGCAAGCAAGCTCAGAGACCACCAAGGACCCCTCATTTGAACCCTTGATATTCTCCTTTATTATTTCTGTTCTCCATTCCTATACAAGGACTTGAAAAACAAAAGCACAATCTAGACAATGCCTACAAACAAACACCACAGGAAAAGAAACACTAGAATTTCAAAAACTTAGATTTTAAAATAAGGAAGCCGATCACCACAATGAACTACTAAAAGCCTTCTGCTCCTTTGGAACTGTCCTTAACCTGATCATGAATGAATTGAAACCCCTTCACATCTTCTCCCAATGACACTAAAATTGGTGATCTATGAGCTACTCCTCAAAGGCTGCTGGGAGAACAATGGAGGAGGGCTTCTCTTGTTAAATTTGAAAAAAAAATGGGTGAGGATAAGGGTAGGAATATAAGTGCCTCTTCCCCCCGCCCTTTATAGTATGTCTTCTGAAAAGAACAACTTGTGTTGAGCCTTCCTTTTTAATTAATCAGAACATAATTTGATGAAAAGACAGGAACAGGAAAGAGATATGGGCCATGCAGTTTGATTAGGAGAACATGACTCAAGAATTTAATTATGTGATTCACAGGAACTGGAAAAAGCATTTTTCCATCTGTTCGTCTCCCAGGGCAGAGGGGGGATCAACCCGGAATACACAGTATTATTTGCCATCTCAGCCTTGTACCCTCCAATTGTTTTAGGTTTCGTGTGCCAAAGACCTCTACCGCTCAGACCATAGGAACGCCGAAATCCAACGCAACTGGACACTAAGTTGGAAAATAACTCTGATCCAGCTAGCAAAACATGAAGCAATGCGCAGCACAGCAAGTGAAATCTTTCACAGCACGGTTACAAGAAAACCCTTTTACTTTGAAATCCGTAAATGTCTTTCCCTTTCAGAATGGCAAGGTATCATTAGTCTCATCGTTTAATGTTAACACCGTTAAATAAATGTGAATTTATTTATTTACTAATCCAGCCTGCTGTTCTTCCTCCTGTCTCCAAGGCCACTCCCACATTAGACAGTCCTTGATTTAGGATTACAAATTTCTGTCATTAAATGAGACGGTTGTTAGGAGAGTTTTGCCCCATTTTTACGAACTTTCTTCTCATGAATCACTGCAGTTGTTAAGTTAGTAATACGGTTGTTAAGTGAATCTGGCTTCTTTCCCCATTGACTTTGCTTGCCAGAAGGTTGCAAAAGGGGATCACATAACCTTGGGACACGGCAACCGTCTTAAGTACCAGTCAGTTGCCAAGCATCTGAATTTTAATCACATGACCATGGGGAGACTATAACAGTCATAAGCGTGAGAAATGATCATCAGTTGCTTTTTAAAGTGCCGTTTGTGTGAAAAAGGGGCAAGAAAGAGGAATAAGCAATTCAACCAACATCTAAGATTAGTTTTGTGGATGAGATACATTTCTAAGCCTTTTCCCCTTTCTGTCTATATGATCTGTTTCTGGGCGGTGGAAACACACGTAGACAAATGGATTATCTTGATAACACATTTCAAATTTCTAATACACACCAGGGAGAAACAGAGGAAGAGTTTTACAGAGAGTGACATTTGCAAAACTGTGTTCTTTCAAGAAAGCCAGCCACGGACTTTCACACAAATCAAATCTTAAAATGCAAACTCTACACCTGTTTAGATTCCCTCCCTCCCTCTCAAATACATCTCATATGTATTATTTATATTATAGGCCTGAAACATTAATTGGTTTATGTTTATTGAAGTGGTGAATGCTTCAATAAATGCTCCAACACTGGAAGTTTTTAAGAAGAGACTGGACAGCCATTTGTCTGAAATGGTGTAGGGCTCCTGCCTGAGCAGGGAGTTGGACTAGATGACCTCCAAGGTCCCTTCCAACTTGATGATGATGATGATGATGATGATGATGATGATGATGATGATGATGGATCATCGCAGTCAGCCAGATGTTCAGATTGGATTTGGCATTTTTGTCTACCTATCGAGTCCTTATCAAGGACCTGGGATAGGCAGACGTGGATGTTTGATGGTATTACAGATATCGTCGCAGGATGGAAGCAGTTCCTAGTAAGGCCGCCTTTTGCAATTGACTAATGGCGAATTTGTCAATGCCGATGGTGTTCAAGTGGTGCTCCAGTTGTTTTGGGATTGCACCCAAGGCGCCTATTACTATTGGTACTACCCTTGCTTGCTTTTGCCACAGTCTTTCTATTTCTATTTGTAGGTCTTTGTATTTTGTTATCTTCTCCAGTTTTTTCTCCTCTATTCTGCTGTCTCCAGGCACTGCCATGTCCACTATTATTATTATTATTATTATTATTATTATTATTATTATTATTATTATTATTATTATTATTATTATTATTATTATTATTATTATTATTATTATTATTATCCCAAAATACATAGGACTCTTCTGTAAATCTTAACAGCTCCTCGTTCGTATTAACCATCAGCAATGCAGCCAGATACTCATCAGACAAAACCACATGAAACAAATTTCGAACGGTCACTAAACGAATGCTCGTAAGTCCAGGACTAACTCTGCCATTCCAGCTGCCTTCCAAAAGCCTTTGCTTACCTTTCCTTGGGAACCATCAAAGCAGGAGGGGTCTTCAAGTACTGTTTGAACCGGAGCTCAAAAGCTTGTCCGACGGTATTGATGACTTCTTGAGCTATTCCAGAGGGACATTCCAAAATGTGGCATGCTGAAAAACAACGGCCACAAGGAAAAAGGATGTGAAAGGAATATAGGTGGTCCTCGACTCGTGACCACAATTCAACCCCAAATTTCTCTTGCGAAGCGAGACATCGGTCAAGTGAGTTTTGCTCCATTTTACGAACCGTCCCTGCCCCAGTTCTTAAGTGAATCCCTGCAGTTGCTAAGCTAACATGGTTGTTAAGAGGAACTGGCTTCTTCCCCATTGACTTTGATTCTCAGAAAATCACAAAAGAGGATCCTGTGACTCCGGGACACTGCAACCGTCTTAAGCACATTCCAGTTGCCAAGCATTTGTCATGTGATCACTTTTTGAGCACTTGGCAACCGGCTCACCTTTACAAATGCTTGTATCCCGTCATCACGTGACCATGATTTTTGAGGGTGTTTTTTTTTTTGCTGTTTCCAGCATTTACTTTCAGTTTCTGATAAAAAACGCCCCTTGGCTAAAATGGATTTGCTTAACAAGTGTGATGTTTGCTTAACAACCATGCAAAAAACATAAGTCAGGAGCTACCTGTATTTTTAGGATCAGAACCCAACAGTCTTGTGTCCTTTGCTTTTTCGTTTTTGTGTTTTGTTTTTTTTACTGCATTTTGGATTAAAAGCATGGCTTGTAGGAGCGTGACAATTCAAGTCTAATACCTATAAAGAGCAACTATTTGAAAAAGCTACAGCACAGAAAGTTCCAGATACAGGCAGTCCTCTCCTTATAACAATTCGTTCAGCGATCATTCGAAGTTACATCGGCACTGAAAAAAGAGACGTATGACCGTTTTTCAGACTCATGATCAAAATTCGGATGCTTGGCCACTGACTCATATTTACGACGGCTGCAGTGTCCCGGGACCATGTGATTCCCCCCTTTTGCAACCATCTGACAAGCAAAGTCAAAGGGGAAACCAGATTGACTTAACAACCATTGTTAACAACTGTGGCAAGAAAAGTCGTAAAATGGGGCCAAATTCCCCTAACAAATGTTTCACTGAACAACTGAAGTTGTGGGCTCAGTTGTGGTTATAAGTTGAGGATTACCTGCTCCATCATATCTCTCTGGCTTGCAAAAATCACATGTTGATAGTTTGCCTAATTTTGCCAATTCCTGGCATGTGAAGAATGTTAGGTTGAAATTTGATCAAGACGTCATTCGTTCCTAGCCACAATTCCTCCCCTTAGCCATCAGAGGGCACTTTTATAACAATAAATTAAGAGGAAGGACTGCAAATAAGGAAAACTTTGTTTTTTGTTTTAATAAGAAAACCCATGTAATTCATATCCGGGATGTAAAGATAGAGAGGAAATTTNTACTAAAAACCACGATAATAAATAAATAGTTTCTGTTCTAAAATCGAATTAAATAACAGGCCTGTTCTAAAAACACACCCATACAAAAACCCCCACTGAAACATAATCAAACTACGCCAGGCCGGCCGCACGGAATAGATGGGCCTTCAGGGCTCGGCGAAAAAGGCGCAGGTCCGCAACTGTACGTAGGTCGGGGGGGAGGGGTAGGTCATTCCAGAGGGCAGGAGCTGCCACAGAGAAGGCTCTCCCCCTGGGGGTCGCCAGCTGGCATTGTCTGGCCGACGGCACCCTAAGGAGGCCCTCTCTGTGGGAGCGGACTGGTCGAAGGGAGGTGTTTGGTAGGAGGCGGTCTTGCAAATACCTAGGTCCATTGCCATGGAGCGCTTTAAAAGTTGTTACTAACACCTCTAACAGTCACATCCCCAGCTTCTGGATGTCACACAAAACCCCAGGCCTTCTTTTGTGCACCCTGAAAGATCCCACAGAGATGCACACAATCCCTTGCCAAAGAGCCTACTTGGTGTTGTGCAGTGGTTCCCAACCGTTTCTATACCCCGCACCCCTAGAACGCTTCTGGTATATTCTCGCACCCCTTACAAAAGTTCAAAATGAACTAAACATATACACTATAATTCTGAAACTTCTAAACCCAGGTTTTTGCACCCCCTGGAATATCGCTTCGCACCCCCAGGTTGGGAACCCCTGGTGTAGTGGTTAAGGCACTGGATGAGAAACTGGGAGACTGGGAGTTCTAGTGTTATCTGAAGCACAAAGCCAGCTGGCTGACCTTGGGCCAGCCAGTCTCTCTCAGCCCTAGGAAGCAGGTAATGGCAATCACTGCTGGAAAAACCGTGCCCCAAAACTGCAGGGACCAGTTCAGACAGTCGCCAGGATCGAGTCAACATTGACTCAAGGATACTTTAGGAAAAATAATAACAACTCACTTGGTTACGGTATGACTAACAGATGGAATTCAAAAGCAAAATATTTAATGACAAAACGTTAGAGCTGCAGCCTTTGCTGCTCGGATCAGAGCCTCAAGGACCATCCCTACCTGCTGGCTGTCAGTGTTCAATAAAGTCAGACTGGTTGTTGAGATGGTCAGTTTTATATGCGTGCCAGAAAACTGAAGATTGCTTTTGCCAAGCACAGGAGAAAGAAATTTAGCTGGAGGCTGTAAAGACAAGCAGAGGGTTGATTTCTTATTTCATATTTCACCTATCAATGGTTTCATTTGCAGATGTTTGTTACAAGGTTCCTGCCAGGAATGTCATGGGGCACCTGAGGAATTCTGGGAGTTGAAGTCCACAAGTCATAAAAGGGCCAAGTTTGAAGACCCCTGGCCTAAGTGGACAATGCTAGAGAATCCAGAGATAATTGCAAGGTTTCTCATTAGCTTGACAATGGTACTCCATGCTAATAGGACAACACTCGTTAATTTCCATTAAATAATAATAATAATGATGATGACGACGATGATGTTGGAAGGGACCTTGGAGGTCATCTAGTCCAACCCCCTGCTCAGGCAGGAAACCCTATACCATTTCAGACAAATGGCTGTCCAGTCTCTTCTTCAAAACTTCCAGTGTTGGAGCATTCACCACTTCTGGAGGCAGGTTGTTCCACTGGTTAATTGTTCTAACTGTCAGGAAGTTTCTCCTTAGTTCTAGGTTGCTTCTCTCTTTGGTTAGTTTCCACCCGTTGCTTCTTGTCCTGCCTTCAGGGGCTTTGGAGAAGAGCTTGACTCCCTCTTCTTTGTGGCAGCCGCTGAGATATTGGAACACTGCTATCCTGTCCCCCCTTGTCCTTCTCTTCATTAAACTAGACATACCCAATTCCAGCAACCGTTCCTTATAGGTTTTAGCCTCCAGTCCCCTGATCATCTTTGTTGCTCTTCTCTGTACGAATATGAGGGTTATATGAGGGTTAGATATATTTTGTATGTGTTGATGGTTCAAGTAAAAGGTAAACCTCTTAAGGCCCAGATGGAGTTCTTTCCTTCAAAGAAGCTAGTTGGCCATCAAAGATAGATTTACCTTCCGTTTTTTTGTGTTCCCGTGTATTCCTGGCACAGCTTCACACAGACGACTTATTGCTTCCCTGAAAAAAAAATGGAAAAGGATTTACATCAAAAAATGGAGGAGAGAGAAACCATCAATTAAGGATCCACACAGCTTTGAATAGAACTCCAGATGTGTCTTTCTTTCTGAGATTTAAATAATTTGTGGTTCTAGGATAATGCTTTGTATGTCAATGGTGCACATGATCCTCACAGATCAAGTGCCTTGCTTTGCTTCATTAGGGGGTTCCTCCACTGTTGATATTGCACAGCCATCCCCAACCTGGTGCCTCCAAATGTTCTGGACCATCTTTTCTCCAACAGCTGAAAGCAACATAGACAACACTTTTTCCAAATGTGCCCCACAATCATCCTGGGAGGTGGCTTTGGATGAGAAAGAAAGAGAAACTGGCCCAGGGTTAGTTATCAGCTATCTATCTGCCATCTATTTATCTACAATCTATCTGTCCCTCCATGCCTCCATTCCCATCCATCCATCCATCTACCCATCCATCCCTACCCATCCACCCCATCCATCAATCCATCCCCATCCGTCCACCCACCCATCCATCTATCCATCCCTTTTTCTTTCTTTCTTTCTTTCTTTCTTTCTTTCTTTCTTTCTTTCTTTCTTTCTTTCTTTCTTTCTTTCTTTCTTTCTTTCTACCATCTTTTTATCTGCAATCTATCCCTCCCTCCCTCCATCCATCCATCCCTATCCATCCATCCTTACCCATCCACCCCATCCATCAATCCATCCCCATCCACCCACCCACTCATCTACCTACCTACCCATCCATACCTATCTATCTATCTATCTATCTATCTATCTATCTATCTATCTATCTATCTATCATCTATCTATCTATCTATCTATCTATCTATCTATCTATCTATCTATCTATCTATCTTCTATTTATCTGCAATCTATCCCTCCCTCCATCCATCCCTACCCATCCACTCCATCCATCAATCCATACCCACCCACCTCTATCTATCTATCTATCTATCTATCTATCTATCTATCTATCTATCTATCTATCTATCTATCTATCTATCTATCTATCTATCTATCTATCTATCTATCTATCCATCTGTTTACCTCTCTATCTAGACTAGATGACTAGATGACCTCCAAGGTCCCTTCCAACTTTATTATTATTATTACTATAATTACTATTATCATCATCATCATCTATCCATCCGTCCATCCATCCATCTTTGGTTTTGTAATGGTATGTGAGATGCCCTTGGGAGACAGGAGAAGAGGTGGAGAATGGACACATGAGATTTGAGTCTGAAGGAGAAGGGATGACGAAAGGGTCTCAAAAGAGCCCCTCCTTCCTTCTGGGCAACGTCAACGTGAAGGGAGGGGCACTTTCAGAATTTTAAGTTCCTATTGATGTAAATCTCAGAATAACAATAGAGCTAGCACTCCAGCACTCCTTATCTGGATGACCTCACCCGGCTAATAGGTTTAAACACTGAATATATTTTCCTACTGCTTTAAAAAAAACACAGGATTATATCTTTGCTTTTTTACTGATGCAATTATATGGATTTTATTATTACACGGCCGCATCTCTCGGGTGCTCTTAGGAAAATAGCAGGATGTAAATAAATGCATTCATTGCGATGGAGCTCAGCTTCACTCCCATCCCATAAACAGCTAATGAGAGAAAAAAGCCTTGCCAGATTCTTCGGCAATTAAATTGGNGCATGTGAAGAATGTTAGGTTGAAATTTGATCAAGACGTCATTCGTTCCTAGCCACAATTCCTCCCCTTAGCCATCAGAGGGCACTTTTATAACAATAAATTAAGAGGAAGGACTGCAAATAAGGAAAACTTTGTTTTTTGTTTTAATAAGAAAACCCATGTAATTCATATCCGGGATGTAAAGATAGAGAGGAAATTTTAAAAAAAACAATCTCAGTGAAAAGACACCCTCATCCCCAGATTTTTCTCAAGAAATTATTGGGTTTACCTCTTTGATTAACAGGATCTTTAGCAACGTAGGCGACATAATCTGTAGTATCCTAAAATACACGTAAAACAAAAGGAATAAGTCTTTTTTTAATATGAATATTATTTTATGTTTTTAAATAACCAGCTCACTTGACTGCTAGGTTTAAGTGGTCAAAAAGGAGGTGTGTAAGAAGATAATAGAAAATTAAAACAAGAGGATGACTGAGCTAATGGCATTTCCTAGTGATTTTTCTTTCTTTCTTTTTATTAACTTTTTCCTTTATACAGTACATATTCAGCAGACTATGTCATTTTTATATACTATGGATCTACATTCTATACAATATATACACTATGTACATTCAATCTAACCCACAATAACTTAATTTGCACAATAACCTTATGTATATTTCCAATTTTTGTTTCTATTGTCATTCAAATATACCAATTTTCCCAAACCGCATAAAATTCCGAATCATCTTTTTCTTTTAATTCTAAGGTGAGTTTGTCCATCTCGGCACATTCATAAATTTTCTGAATAATCAACCCCTCTGGTGGTAAATTGCGTTCCTTCCAATATTGCGTGAATGCAACTCTTGCCGCAGTTAATATATGTAAAATCAGATATCTTATTTTCTTATCAATTTTCTTTTTAAGTATTCCCAGGAGAAATGTTTCTGGATTTAATTCGGTTTGACATTTTGTTAAGTCAACATTTTGTTGACATTTTCTAGTGATTTTTCATTCTAAGTATAATTTTCCTCAATATTCTATGACTGAACCCTATTCCTAATATGAAGAGGTTCAGTTATGCCACTGGTTCTCTATTAGCATTCATTCGCAATTGTGTTTTTACTTCCAACAATGTTCTTAAATTGAAACTTCTATACTTACTGGATCCCCCCCAGAGGCAAATGAAATGGACTGCATATGGTGGTTTGCAATAATCTGAGAAGAGAAAAAAAAATAGGTGGTGTCTGTGTATAGCTCATCCAGAAACGATTAGTAAATTTTCTCTGCAAAGCTCATCATATTGACAGTTCGTAAATTCGGCATACAGACTAATGGAGGCAGTCAGGTAGAAGCACCCAAAAGCAGATTGTCTGCTTAGAACAGGTAAATTCCCTCTAACAGTCACATCCCCAGCTTCTGGATGTCATACAAAGCCCCAGGTCTTCTTTTGTGCACCCTGAAAGATCCCACAGAGATGCACACAATCCCTTGCCAAAGAGCCTACTTGGTGTCGTGCAGTGGTTCCCAACCTTTTCTATACCCCGCACCCCTAGAACGCTTCTGGTATATTCTCGCACCCCTTACAAAAGTTCAAAATGAACTATGCATATACACTATAATTCTGAAACTTCTAAACCCAGGTTTTTGCACCCCCTGGAATATCGCCTCGCACCCCCAGGTTGGGAACCCCTGGTGTAGTGGTTAAGGCACTGGATGAGAAACTGGGAGACTGGGAGTTCTAGTGTTATCTGAAGCACAAAGCCAGCTGGCTGACCATGGGCCAGCCAGTCTCTCTCAGCCCTAGGAAGCAGGTAATGGCAATCACTGCTGGAAAAACCTTGCCCCCAAACTGCAGGGACCAGTTCAGACAGTCAGCAGCATCGAGTCAACATTGACTCAAGGATACTTTAGGAAAAATAATAACAACTCACTTGGTTACGGTATGACTAACAGATGGAATTCAAAAGCAAAATATTTAATGACAAAACGTTAGATCTGCAGCCTTTGATGCTCGGATCAGAGCCTCAAGGACCATCCCTACCTGCTGGCTGTCGGTGTTCAATAAAGTCAGACTGGTTGTTGAGATGGTCAGTTTTATATGCGTGCCAGAAAACTGAAGATTGCTTTTGCCAAGCACAGGAGAAAGAAATTTAGCTGGAGGCTGTAAAGACAAGCAGAGGGTTGATTTCTTATTCCATATTTCACGTAAGGCGATCAATGGTTTCATTTGCAGATGTTTGTTACAAAGTTCCTGCCAGGAATGTCGTGGGGCACCTGAGGAATTCTGGAAGTTGAAGTCCACAAGTCACAAAAGGGCCAAGTTTGAAGACCCCTGGCCTAAGTGGACAATGCTAGAGAATCCAGAGATATTTGCAAGGTTTTTCATTAGCTTGAAAATTGGTACTCCATGGTAATGGGACAACACCCGTTAATTTCCATTAAATAATAATAATAATAATACTAATAATACTAATAATACTAATAATAATAATAATAATAATAATAATAATAATGATGATGATGATGGTGGTGGTGGTGGTGGTGGTGGTGGAAGGGACCTTGGAGGTCATCTAGTCCAACCCCCTGCTCAGGCAGGAAACACTATACCATTTCAGACAAATGGCTGTCCAGTCTCTTCTTAAAAACTTCCAATGTTGGAGCATTCACCACTTCTGGAGGCAGGTTGTTCACTGGTTAATTGCTATAACTGTCAGGAAGTTTCTCCTTAGTTCTAGATTGCTTCTCTCGTTGGTTAGTTTCCATCTGTTGCTTCCTGTCCTGCCTTCAGGGGCTTTGGAAAACAGCTTGACTCCCTCCTCTTTGGGGCAGCCCCTGAGATACTGGAAGACTGCTATCATGTCCCCCCTCGTCCTTCTCTTCATTAAACTAGACATACCCAATTCCAGCAACCGTTCCTTATAGGTTTTAGCCTCCAGTCCCCTAATCAACTTTGTTGCTCTTCCCTGTACGAATATGAGGGTTATATGAGGGTTCCCTAAGACATGTAGATATATTTTGTATGTGTTGATGGTTCAAGTAAAAGGTAAACTTCTTAAGGCCCAGAGAGAGCTCTTTCCTTCAAAGAAGCTAGTTGGCCATCAAAGATAGATTTACCTTCCGTTTTTTTGTGTTCCCGTGTATTCCTGGCACAGCTTCACATAGACGACTTATTGCTTCCCTGAAAAAAAAAATGGAAAAGGATTTACATCAAAAAATGGGGGAGAGAGAAACCATCAATTAAGGATCCACACAGCATTGAATAGAACTCCAGATGTGTCTTTCTTTCTGAGATTTAAATAATTTGTGGTTCTAGGACAATGCTTTGTATGTCAATGGTGCACATGATCCTCACAGATCAAGTGCCTTGCTTTGCTTCATTAGGGGGTTCCTCCACTGTTGATGTTGCACAGCCATCCCCAACCTGGTGCCTCCAAATGTTCTGGACCATCTTTTCTCCAACAGGTGAAAGCAACATAGACAACACTTTTTCCAAATGTGCCCCACAATCATCCTGGGAGGTGGCTTTGGATGAGAAAGAAAGAGAAGCTGGCCCAGGGTTAGTTATCAGCTATCTATCTGCCATCTATTTATCTACAATCTATCTGTCCCTCCATCCCTCCATTCCCATCCCTCCATCCATCTACCCATCCATCCCTACCCATCCACCCCATCCATCAATCCATTCCCATCCGTCCACCCACCCACCCATCCCTTTCTTTCTTTCTTTCTTTCTTTCTTTTTCTTTCTTTCTTTCTTTTTCTTTCTTTCTTTCTCTTTCTTTCTACCATCTATTTATCTGCAATCTATCCTTCCCTACCTCCATCCATCCCTATCCATCCATCCTTACCCATCCACCCCATCCATCAATCCATCCCCATCCACCCACCCACCCAATCTACCTACCTACCTACCTACCTACCTACCCACCCATCCATACCTATCTATCTATCTATCTATCTATCTATCTATCTATCTATCTATCTATCTATCTATCTATCTATCTATCTTCTATTTATCTGCAATCTATCCCTCCATCCATCCCTACTCATCCACTCCATCCATCAATCCATACCCACCCACCCACATCTATCTATCTATCTATCTATCTATCTATCTATCTATCTATCTATCTATCTATCTATCTATCTATCTATCTATCTATCTATCTATCTATCTATCTATCTATCTATCCATCTGTTTACCTCTCTATCTAGACTAGATGACTAGATGACCTCCAAGGTCCCTTCCAACTTTATTATTATTATTACTATAATTACTATTATCATCATCATCATCATCTATCCATCCGTCCATCCATCCATCCATCTTTGGTTTTGTAATGGTATGTGAGATGCCCTTGGGAGACAGGAGAAGAGGTGGAGAATGGACAAATGAGATTTGAGTCTGAAGGAAAAGGGATGACGAAAGGGTCTCAAAAGAGCCCCTCCTTCCTTCTGGGCAACGTCAAAGTGAAGGGAGGGGCACTTTCAGAATTTTAAGTTCCTATTGATGTAAATCTCAGAATAACAATAGAGCTAGCACTCCAGCACTCCTTTTCTGGATGACCTCACCCGGCTAATAGGTTTAAACACTGAATATATTTTCCTACTGCTTTAAAAAAAACAGGATTATATCTTTGCTTTTTTACTGATGCAATTATATGGATTTTATTATTACACGGCCGCATCTCTCGGGTGCTCTTAGGAAAATAGCAGGATGTAAATAAATGCATTCATTGCGATGGAGCTCAGCTTCACTCCCATCCCATAAACAGCTAATGAGAGAAAAAAGCCTTGCCAGATTCTTCGGCAATTAAATTGGCCTTTATTAAGGGTTTAAAAAAACAACAAAAAAACCCTCATCCAACCCATCCAGGAGCCCAGTAGCGAATGGAAGAGAGAGGCTAAATGAAAAAAAGAGGGGAACGCACAGGCAACTAACATTTGGCAAAGGATGAATGCTTAGTTGCTCCGTCCAAAGCCCACTGGGTAGAATGAGTAACCCCATGACAAGGATTCTCATTCTTGAGAGGAGAAAAATATCAGAATTTTGGGAACTGCTATCCCGCTCAGTAATTTTCCACTCTGTGCAGGGTTGAAGAAATGGCTTCCAAATGGTTCTTGCTATTGTCCAAGAGAACATTGCTTTTCCAATAGAACATTGCTTGCTAAACACTGAAGAATCTTTGTTGCTGTTGCGTTGTTGTTCAGTCACTAAGCCGTGCCCAACTGTTTGTGACCCCATGGACCAGAGCACACGGGCCACCTTGTCCTCCACTGTCTCCTGGAGTTTGCCCAAATTGCATCAATAACACTATCTAACCCTCCCATCCTCTGCCGTCCCCTTCTCCTTTCGCCTTCCATCTTTCCCAACATCAGGGTGTTTTCCAAGGAGTCCTCCCTTCTCGTTTTGTGACCAAAGTATTTGAGCTTCAGCTTCAGTATCTGTCCTTCTAAAGAATGGTCAAGGGTTGGTTTCCCTCAGGATTGATTGATTTGATCTCCCTGCAGTCCAAGGGACTCTCAAGCATCTTCTCTAACATTCAAAAGCATCAACGAATCTTTAACCAACTCATGATCTGTTGGATAGATGGAACTCATACACTGTATTAAATTAAAGATAGTGTCATTCAATGGACAACTATTAGGTGGATTCACCCAATGTGTAAAAGAATTAAGCATGGGTTACAAATTATACTGGTGGGAAATATACAACAGGCTAAGCAACCACTAAAAACTCCCTCTCCCAAGTTCAACAGTGCAGGACGGTTTCCAGAGAGAAATAAAATAAAAAATCAAGATGGCGGCTGTGACTACATGGTTAAAGTCTAACCACTTTCTTGCATGGGACACATGCAAAATGAGGGCAAGGCTTCAATGTTGCGGCTGCCATTTTGATTTTCTGGAATCCCTACTGCGGAAACACCAGATGCAATGCATAAATGCCACCAGTTTGTCCTTTGCCCTTTGTCTTCAAAAATGATGTGACAATGGCTTGGTATACAGGTTTGTGGTGAAGTTTATAACGTTTCTGGTTGCCAAAATAAATAAATATTACAACTAGGAACAATGGCCAATAAGATTTCAGAATCCAGAAGGTTTCCTAAATAAGAAACAGAAGAGACCAGATCATGGATGAGACCCAAACTCTATGAACAGCAATAATAACAAAAGTAATACCAATGTTATGACACGCTATCTAACTTGGATTTGACAGGTGGCTTTCTCTAGCAGGCAATTTGAGTCAGCAGCATCTTTTCTGATTTTTTTTTAAATTGGAAATCAAAAGGCAGCAGAGATGCCTACCAAACTTCCCAGAAAAAGTTCATTCAATATCGTATGCTGCGTGTGTCCATTTTACTTTGCCATGTTTGAAGCCACCTGTCATTCCTAAATTGTGACACCACGCACCAATATTTTGCTAAAACAAACAGATGGAATAGGACACTTCACCTCAAAATGAGCAAGTTCTCCAACTTATGTAGACTGTATGTTAAAATGTAAGATGCATGTTGCTTTTTGTTAAACTCTCTAGAACAGGGGATCTCCAAGCTTGGCAACTGTAAGACTTGTGGACTTCAACTCCCAGAATTCCTCAGCCAACATAGCTCAGCATAGTTGGCTGAGGAATTCTGGGAGTTGAAGTCCACAAGTCTTAAAAATTGCCAAGGTTGGAGAACCCTGCTTTAGAAGATACCAGGCTGGGGAAAAGAATCCTAGTCTGCATTTGAGAAACTGGTACCTTCTTGGTCCCAAAACACCAAGAACCCATTGGACACCTCTTGGGTGTCAAGGAATTTCTGCTCCCACAGTGCCTCCCCCCCTCCCTCCAGGATTGTGTGCCTCCAGACAGTGGAGAGTCTAGCTTTGTTCACTGGTGGAGAAGCAACTCAGCAACAACACTGCATTACTTTGTTTATTGTGTTGCCAAATTCAGCTGAGAGCAAAGAACGTGGGCTGATGTCAAGGAATAAGAATGCTCTTGAAGTTGAGCTTTTAAGCATCAGAGGTCCTGTCTTTTACCCACAGAACAGAAAGGGATTGTATGGCAGTAACAAAGTTGAATGTTTAGCCATTGAGACAAAGCTGTCTGGCTGAATTGGTTCTGCAATTTCAGAAGCCTCCTATTTCAAGTCATCTTCTCTGGCCATTTCCAAGATTTAGACCTGGGTTCCTACATCATATTAAGCCAAGATTGGGGTCCCTCATCAAGCGATTTTGCCACGAGGATTGTTTTCGGCTTTGTGAGAACCTGGGCACTGTGGTTTGAACACAACCAAAGGTTGAATCAACAACTGTTAGTTAAAAAGGTCTGCTGTATGCATTCTGTACACCCAACCTATGTGTGTAGTTTAGCAAGTGTTTGGAACTCAGCCATTTTGGCATGAAACCAATGTTTTATGGCCTAATGAGTGGCCTAATTCCATCTTAGTTTGCGTTGTCTTCAATCCCATATTGATAGTTCACGCAAAGTTATAAAATCATGAGTAAAAATTGCAGGGTTACCATATAGCACATTATGGTTCCACGTGATGTTTGACTCCAGTCTTAATATAATATTCCCAAGATTCTCATTTGACCACAGAGGCCCCACACACACCAAACAGTCATAGGATATTTACTGCAGAACCAAGGCTAACTGTTTAATATAATCCCACAGAATAGAATGCAGTCATCTAACTCCAGAAAAGGCAGGCTGCTTATTAATGCTTGTATCTCGGGCAAAACCCAAGCACGTGGTTTTATGTTTTGATTGTTCTGGCTCCCTTTTGTAAATGTGTAAATTAAAACCTTAGAAAAATGTTTTAAAATTGGGGAAAGTAGGATGCAGCAGTTTCATGCTAACTTGCTTCTCAGTGTTGCAGTTGCAGGTGCTATTAGCAAAAGTCTCCCAACAAATATGGAACAATTGAATGTTCTCTCCATGAAGACAGACTTCATGAGGAACATGGAGCAAGTCCAACATTATTCTTCCTCTTTTACAAAAACTCTGACTGGAGAGTTGCTCTCTCAGATACCTAGGGGTGAACTCGCTTGCAGCAATGACATAACTTATTCCATACATCATGCTTGGCTACCCAACCATTATACGTTGGGAACTGTGGCTTATGCTTTAACACAAGGCATGTACCTAGCCACAATGATTTATAATAACTGTTATAGCCTAACAGGTTATACAAACACAGCCAATTGTGTCTAGGCCCATAAATCCCATGGCTTTAGTCTGATCTGTGAAGCCCTCTGATTCATTCATGAAGTGGTTGTCCGTGATACAGTTGGATTATGACTACAAACACGGGCCTTGCTGGCATGGCTATATGATATAGGCAATGGGACATGGGCTCCAACGACATCTAGGGTTACATCCTCTAGATCAGGGGCCTGGAATCTTGTCATCTTTAAGATTTGTGGAATTCTGGGAGCTGAAGTCCACAAGTCTTAAAGATGACAAGGTTGCAGACCCCTGCTCTAGATGCCTTCCATCCCCAAAAATATTCTATCTGATTCAATGTCTTCAGGAGAGTGGATGAAAAAGCCATTCAACTACATCTTCCAAGGTCCAAACAGAAAGTATTCCGGTGTACATTCTGATATCCTGTTAAACAAGTGGTACATATAGGAGGAAGACAAGCAGAGACGGGGGTGGAGTCAAGAGAGGAATCAGCTAGAGTCTTTACATTCCCACAAAGGTCTAAGTCCAATCCCTCTTGAATTCCACCGACCTTTATCTAGTGCCAATTTAGTGCTGACCATTAGTTGACTAGGTTCTTATGCATAGGCATGAGCAACGAATGAGCTCAACTTAATGTAGGGTACCGATTCTTCGCACCTGACAGCCCAAAATACCTTTGGATAGAGCAGTGGTTCTCAACCTTTTTAATGCCGCGACCCCTAACTGATTGTAAGTCGAGGACTAAACCGGTCGTAAGTCGAGGACTAAACAGGTCGTAAGTCGAGGACTACCCAACCGGTCGTAAGTCGAGGACTTTCCCTGCCCGGGAGCGCCGCGCATGCGTGGTTCCGCCCCCTGCGCCAGCCGAAGCATAGCTGGCAGGCGACAGAGACGGAGCAGGCCGACCACCAGCTGGCCCAGCTCAAGGGAGGTAAGGCACCCGCCGGAAAAGGGGAAAAAATGGTGGACAGCCTTGCTTGGCGACCCTGTGAAATGGTCGATCGTCCCCAAATGAGAACCGCTGGGATAAAGCACTTCCTTTGCAAAATAGGAGCAAATGTATAGCTAAGGAAAATGGGGGTGGGTGATGGTGAAGAGATGCATTTCTTTTGTATTTTGAGACAGGTGAGACCATGCCCAGTTATTAAAAGAAGCTTTTGCATTAAAAGCTGAAACTCGAGCAAGATATTTGAAAAGGAATTGTTAAAAGTTTGCACTGTTTAAAGCTCCTGCATACGCCATTTTAATGCAGCCTTAATGGAACGCTCTATCTCAGAGACAGAAGCATTTGATAGATACAATTAACTCGGGCATATCATTAAGTGGTTTTAAACAGTGAACTACCAAACACTTAAATAAACATGACACATTCTTCTGCATAGCGTTAAAATCCCGCAATTCTGGGAAGCAAAAACAAATGCCTGCTTGTGCATTAAGACTTAACGCCACATAATTTAGAACACTTCTAATGCCATCTTCCACACACACAGCACAGTATAGCACAGATGTAAATATTCCTTTGACAAGGACTACACAAGCCCTCAGTTGAAGGCCATAAGATGGAGAGGGTTCAAGAAAACACCCTGTTAGCAAATTGTAGCTGTTAACTTGACAAAAGGGGAGAAAAGAAAGATTTGACCGAAGAATGACTACGTTGACCACATTTAATTCTAAAGGGGATCAAATCAAAGGAATCCATCTTTAACCTTTTTATTTTTTTCTATCCTTTACTTTCTAAAGTATCTCCTTCAAGCTTTCAGAGTAGCCCATTGCATATCTGGGTTTTGGCTTAATGTTGCACCGTTCTAGGTAACTTGGTTTATTCAGCAAATCATGGTTAAGACACACTATATAGCTGAGCGATGAAGCAACTCAGCCAACTGAATCATGCAGAAGATTCCACCCTAAAGACATGCCATGAAACACAACATAAAGCTTCAAACAACGCTGAGTGTAATAAGGAAACAACTTAGTCACACAGCTTTCTGTAAAGCCTATAATGTCAAAAGTTCTCCTTGCAGTACTGTACATAATTCAAGGAAATTCAGAAAGTTCTCAAGAGGAGATTTCAGCACAATATAGTTTTTGCTTAAATAGCCCCTGGGCAACTATGAGTTGTCTTGACTGCTTCCTGCTGTGGTTTTGAAATATTCATGTGGCAGACACGATATTAACAATGACCAGTATATTAGGGAAATAATTTCCAGCCTCGGGCTCTTTGCTGGCTGCCGAGTACAAGTCTGACATTAGGAGCACCAGAATACGATGCTTACTTAATGCCAACTATCAAATCCCAGTCTCCATCTCCCAGCAATTCAGTCACTAGTATGGAGATAAAACAGGGGACATTTTTAATCGTGCTAGGCTGATTTTTAAATTCTTAAGCAAAGAATATTTCAGAGTCTTTGCATAAAAACAAAGCCAGCCAAAAGGCCTTGTGTTCATCAAAAGTTTAGCTTTGAACCAACTCTACCTACAGACAGGTAATCATGGACTTACAACTGTAATGTTAGGGTTGGTTCTGCGTCATCCCCATGGATGAGAATTTGAATGCAAAGAAAGCTTAGGCTTACAACTACTGGAGTGAATACTATTGCTAGCAGTGTTTCACTAATTGCTTGTAATTTGGTGGGCAACTTTAAAGCTAGATTTTTTTTTTTGCGGGGTGGTGGTGGATATATATGCAGTTAAAATGCACCCCATGCAACAAACATACTGTTCATTGAAGCTTCCGTCTTCAATAGTTATTCTACATATCTGTCCTGCTTCAGATAACTGGGTAATGCATTTATTTTGCTAACTATTAGATATTAGCCTGAACTGAGATAAGGACAGGGATACCGTTTTATTTATATTATTTTGTCATGCTATTGATAAATTAAAAATTAGTTCCTGCAAGCTGCTTTTTTCAGCCCAAGAGCAGTTTAATAAAATATGAGATGCAGTTATAATTAAACCAACATGTTTTATGTAAAATGAAAGCATTTGATTACATTCTTAACAGGAATTTTTTTTTATGTTGTATTAGTCTTACACAGAGCACAGACCGGGCTAAATTTGTGAACGTCCCAAGAAAAAGGAAATTTTTAAATTAGAAAAACATTGAAAAACAGATAAGGCTCATTCATAACACTCTATACAGAATGCATTAGAAAAAAGTAAAAGATTATCCAGGGAGAAAGTCAATAAAATACACCTCAGCGGCGAACTGGAGGAAAATTTTATTCCTGTATGTAAGTGTTTAGATTTATTTACTTATTTACCTACATATAACTCCCAACTTTTCATTAACAATTCAATCTCCAAGCAGGGATATAACAATTAAAAGCAATGTATAATGAATATAATTTTACAAAAAAGGAAATATAGCTGCTGCTTTAAAACCCTCGACCGGCATAAAATCCTACAGAGGAAAAACATCCATTCAAAGTGATCAATAGCAAAACTGCATTGATTGACTGATGAACTGCAGGTCAAAGCAGAACAAAGCCAAGAAAATCAATCCGGAAAGATCTGATGTTTTAAATCAGGGGAATAAGAAGAAAATAAACCATATTTCTGCCTGCATAGAAATAAAGGGGGTTTGAATAGGATGCTGTAGCTTACCTGGTAACCTGCGTCCGTGTACCAAAATCCAAAGACCTCATTGATTGGAGCACCTCAATGCAGCCCATATACTAAATATTGAGAGAAAGAGAGAGAAGAGAGAGAGAGAGTTGAAAAAGTGGAAAATCAGAGAATGATCAGAAGACCTTGCTCTTTAAAATGGTAGTTGATACTTCAACCAGTTCACTGGTAGTCCTTCCTGATTTTTTTTAAAGCTTTAATTATTTTCACAAATGGATAAAATTCAACCTAGTCCTAGACTGAGAAAACTGGGGTCCAAATCATGAAATTGGGAAGAACTATATTCCTTCCTTTCTCGATGGAATATCCAAACTCTAAACCCTTCCAAGAATACTGGGGCAAAAATGTTTAATTTGGACAAAAACATTATTTATTTACCCAAACTGACGCACCACCCGCCTCCTGAGACGCTGTGTGATTTACAGTAACATAGATAAAACATATTTCCACCGTACAAATGTGATATGAAAGTAGAAATACAGAGCAATAAATAAGCTGCATTTAAAGATGATGGACCATAAAATCTTGTCCAATAATTCTAAAAATAAAAATCTGAATCTCCCAGTGCTCATTTAAACCATAGAGCAGTGATTGTCAACCTTGAGAATTTTCAGATGTGTGGATTTCAACTCTGGCTGGCTGGGGAATGCTGGTAGTTGAAGTCCACACATCTTAAAGTTGCAGAGGTTGAGATACATTCCTCACAGCCCTGGAATGAATTACTGAGAACGATAGCAGAGGCATTTTTCTGGGGTAAAAGAGTTCAATGACAAATAAGCCATAAATTGGCCAGTAACTGGATCCACATGACATACCAAGGCACACATTGAAGAAATATATTTTCGTCTGTCCTGTGTGATTACATTTAAAGTCCTTTTCATCCTCTCTCTCCTACAAGACTGTGGGTGAAGGACTTTGAGTAACCATTCTGAGGAATTATGGTAGTGGTAGCCGTTTCCTAATAATGTAAAGGCTACAATATAATAGTAATCGGCACTTCTGGTAGCATGGAGGAATAAGGATGATTTGAGGAGGGAAAGATGGAAGATGATAATATATTATCATCTATGGATCATCATCTGTTATCATCTATATATCATCTATATGATAATATATGATAATATATCATATATTACCATCTACGGAAGATGATAATATATTTTATTTAATGGCCAACGCTGTAGTTACCGTAACTCTCGGCCATTAGTATTCAGTAAGAAGAAGGAAAAAGATAATGGCCTGAACGTTTACAGTATGTATGTTGCAAATCAAGTCTTTGAAAATCACCTTCAAGGTTAGATATCCATTAAATCAGCATTTACGGTCTCTGCTCTGAAAAGCAAGGGTGTGCAGTGGTATTTTTTCAACTTCTGTGGGCTTTGAAGCCTCCTCCCCCTTCCCTTAAGAACAGTAATCTTGCAAACCGGCTGGCTGCGATATTGCCACCCTTGATGAAGGCTAAAGATTCGGAGGAGTAGGTGAGTCACAGGCTGGGATCAGATGACTGTGAGTAAGCTCCCCTCAACATATGCGTGGGAGGCTGAATTGAGCAAAGCCTTGTGGGGGAGGGGGAGGGAAAGTAGGGAGAGAGAGGAGAGAAACCATTACTAAGGGGTTGCTATCAATGGTCCTGATTGGAGTTCATCTTATCAGACATTCTGTACAGGCCATTATTTACATAAAAGCGGGAGAAAGGAAAAGGCAGGAACAAGATGTTTCGAAAGAGATAGTCAAGTGACTTCAGCATTTTGGACTATTCAGGACTGTATACTCCTAGCTGTGTAGGGAAGGTCTCAATTGTCTAGGAAATGAGAAGATAAAGGTAAAGTCGTGTACAGGCCACACCAGTTTTGGTCACCACGATGTAAAAAAGATGTTGAGACTCTAGAAAGAGTGCAGAGAAGAGCAACAAAGATGATCAGGGGACTGGAGGCTAAAACATATAAGGAACGGTTGCTGGAATTGGGTATGTCTAGTTTAGTGAAGAGAAGGATGAGGGGGGACATGATAGCAGTCTTCCAGTATCTCAGGGGTTGCCACAAAGAAGAGGGAGTCAAGCTATTCTCCAAAACCCCTGAAGGCAGGACAAGAAGCAACGGATGGAAACTGATCAAGGAGAGAAGCAACCTAGAACTAAGGAGAAATTTCCTGACAGTTAGGACAATTAATCAGTGGAATAACCTGCCTCCAGAAGCGGTGAATGCTCCAACACTGGAAGTTTTTAAGAAGAGACCGGACAGCCATTTGTCCAAAATGGTATAGGGTTTCCTGCCTGAGCAGGGAGCTGGACTAGATGACCTCCAAGGTCCCTTCCAACTTTATTATTATTATTATTATTATTATTATTATTATTATTATTATTATTATTAACTCTAGGACATGGTGTTGGTCTCTGTTTCTCGGACGAGGGAGCCAGCATTGTTTGAAGACATTTTCCGTGATCATGAGGCCAGCATGGCTATACACCAAAGGCACACAGAATGCTCTTAGTTTCTCACCAAAGTGGTACCTGCAGGTAGGCCTTGACTTACAACAGTTCATTTAGTGACCGTCCAAAGTTACAACGGCACTGAAAAAAGTGACTTATGAACCGTTGTTCACACACTGATGACCCTTGCAGCATCTCCGTGGTCACGTGATTTACATTGGGATGCTTGACAACAGACTCACATTTAGGACGGTTGCAGTGTCCCCCGGGGTCAAGTGATCCCCTTTTGTGACTTCTGACAAGCAAAGTCAATGGGGAAAAAGCCGGATTCTCTTAACAACCGTGTTACTAATTTCAGAACTGCAGCGATTCACTTCAACAAACATGGCAAGGAAAATCGTAAAATGGGGCAAAACTCAGTTAACCAATTTCTCACAACATAAATTTTGGGCTCAACTGTGGTCGTATGTTGAGGGCTACCTGTATTAATCTACCCGCGTTTCCTGCTTTCAACCTGCAAGGTGGGCAGGAGCTGGGGCAAGGAACAGGAGCTCACCCCGTTCCTTGGTGCTCAGTTCTCGAACCTGGGCTGTCAGCTCTCCAGCTGACGAGCTCAGCATCTTTAACCACTGAGTCATCACACCCCCTCTAAAAAAATGAACATCTAGTCCAATGACCTTCTAGCCTAACTAATTAACATCTAGTTCAGGGGTAGGCAACCTTGGCTCTTTTATGATTTGTGGACTTCAACCCCCAGAATTCCTGAGCCAGCCATTCTGGGAGTTGAAGTCCACGAGTCATACAAGAGCCAAGGTTGGCTACCCCTGAACTAGTTTAACAAAGAGAAGGGCTAGGGGTGACATGATGGCTGTCTTCCAGTACTTGAGGGGCTGACACAGAAAAGTTGGGAGTCGACTTATTCTCCAATAATTTTCTGGGCAGGACAAAAAATAACATGTGGAAGATTATTAAAAAGAGATCCAACCTCAGAAATAAAGAGAAATTTCCTGACAGAACAATGGATCAGTGGAACGACTTGCCTCCAGAAGATGTGGGTGCTCCATCACTGGAGGTTTTTAAGAAGAGATTGGACAATCATTTGTCTGAAATGGTGTAGGTTCTCCTGCTTGAACAGGGGGTTGGACTAGAAGAGCTCTAAGGTCCCTTCCTAGAACTAAGGAGAAATTTCTTGACAGTGAAAACAATCAGTGGAACAGCTTGCCTCCAGAAGTTGTAGGTGCTCCATCACTGGACATTTTCAAGAAGAGATTGGACAGCAGTTTGTCAGGCCAGGAGGGGATAAACTCTTTTGGGGGGGGGTCCTCAGGACTTTTATTCTGCTTCCTAAATTGTCCCTCCTTGAGACTTAGAGAAAGAGAAACTCAACGCTATGGTTACAGTGTGTTCACTGCGAATGACAAAGGAAGAATTTCAGGATGTTGAGTTTCCTTGGGTAATAAAATCTCTCCGGGGAACTATTAACAGTTCCCACAGCTGTTCAGCAGGCTGGTTGCTTAGTCAGAGAGCTGGGTTCTCAACACAACTGCCAGTCCTTTGCGCAGAGGTCAAGTCTCATGACTCACTGAGAGTAATTACAAAGGAAGTGGATGGAGCAGCTAACCTCCCCCCCTTCTTCCCCTCCGATAAGACTCAGATCTGCCAAGGTCTCTCAGGAAATACTAGCTTCCGGTCCTACTGCCTCCCCAACTCTCCAGCTCCAATGTTATAATTAAACGTTTGCATCCAGCACAGTCGAGCAAATCAACAGGGAGAAGCTAAAAGCCATCCTTTTGCTTCCTGAATCAGATATGAGTCCAAGGAGCTCTGAGTCATAGAAGTTCGTTGGATGCCCATGAGGGGTCATCAATGGGGTGGGAAAGTTTTTATATATGCAGTCTTTGCTACAAGGCCAGGGCAGGTGCTTCAAAATGCTGTTTCTTAGCAAAGTAATATGGGCGGGGGTAGGAGGTGGGAAGTACAAGCAAATAGGTCTGTGGAAGTGAAGGAGATGACCAAAATGAGCCCGAGGGAGGGATCAAACATGGCATCAGTCTTGAGTCACCTCAAGCCCACAAGAGATCTAAGTCCAGCCCACCTTGAATTCCATTGACTCTATGGATATGCCAAGACAGTATAGAAGAAACCATGGAAGAGGAGAGGGCCAAAGTGGAGGGGTGGGTGATGTAGGAGATGACCAACATGAGCCTGAGGGAGGGATCAAACATGGCATCAGTCTTGAGTCACCTCAAGCCTACAAGAGATCTAAGTCCAGCCCACCTTGAATTCCATTGACTCTATGGATATGCCAAGACAGTATAGAAGAAACCATGGAAGAGGAGGGGGCCAAGGTGAAGGGGTGGGTGATGTAGGAGATGACCAACATGAGCCCAAGGGAGGGATAAAACACGGCATCAGTCTTGAGTCACCTCAAGCCCACAAGAGACCTAAGTCCAGCCCACCTTGAATTCCATTGACTCTATGGATATGCCAAGACAATATAGAAGAAACCATGGAAGAGGAGGGGGCCAAGGTGGAGGGGTGGGTGATGTAGGAGATGACCAACATGAGCCCAAGGGAGGGATCAAACACGGCATCAGTCTTGAGTCACCTCAAGCCCACAAG